GCCCTAGGTGATGTGGGTGGGCATTGTCTTGGTTATGACAGCACCTGTGTCCTGTGCTGACTTCATCTGTCTCTTGTGATAGCCCTCCAAGTTAGGGGTCATTACTCACCATATTAGGGGACACTGAGACTCAGAGGGGGTACCACCTGCCTACAAGTCACACAGCCACTAAGGAGCAAGTCCAAATTCGAACCCAGGGCAGCCAATCCAAAGCCCATGCTTCTACCACACTCCTGTACACACCGCCTCACTAAACGTGACCAGAGGTAGTGACCACCAATGTACTAGGCATGGACCAGGCTCTTTGCAAATGCTCTCTTATTTAATCTCCCCAAAACTGTATGAGGGAGTTAGTATCAGCCCCATTTCAAGAAGGGAAATTGAGGTTCGAGAGAGAAGAGGCCGTCCAGGGATGACATGGGAGCGCAGGGAACTAGTGCACTGCCATAGTGGATGCTGTAGGGGACACCCAAACCCTCCTTCAGGGCTGGGGCACTTGTTGCCTCAGCTACCCAGGGCATTGGTGGCTGACAGCTCTGGGATCCATCGGTGGAAAACAGCCCCCTCGCCCAAGGCCCTGACTCTCCCAGAGGACATCCTATGTCCAGTGACACGATAGTGGGGGGTATAAAGTCCTGGCCCTCTTACCTCAGGGCAGATATCTCTGAAGGCTCCAGAGCTGCCTGGGACGGCTGAGGCCCAGTCATGACTGCACTGCAGCTCAACTCCCCCCAGCCTGCTTCTTTCGCACCTTCCTGGGGCAGGTTCCCCAGGGCACCCCAGCATACCTCCTGCTGTAAGTCTCCGTCTCAGAGTCTGCCTCCTGGGACTCTGACCAAAGACATCTGCTCTGCCTTTGGGGGCCAGGCCTGAAGGCACAGACTTCATCCTGAGGGCCCTGGGGGCCACAGCTACAGCATGCAAGAGACAGATCAGACTTGTATTGTGGAAAGACCCTACTGGAGAACAAACTGGGGGTGGAAAGAGACTGGAGGGCGAGGGTGGGGGGGTGGGGGGGCAGTGAGGAGGCTGGCAAGAGGGCTGGGGTCTGGCAGCGAAGGCAGGGAGGAGAAAGCCAATGCCAGCAGTGGATGCTGGGAGGAATAAACGGATCATAATTTGAGACTAGCCGATGAGCCGTGTGCCTGGCCATAGGTGACTGGGGATGCTGGTGCCCCACGCTGTCTTCCATCTGGAAGCCACTCATCAGTTCAGGGCCAGCCTGGTGGGGTGCCCACCTTGTCCCTCTCAAGTCATCAGCCATGAAGCCTGAACATGGTGGCTTGGTGCCTCATTCCATGCATTTAAGAAAACAGGGCTAATACCAGTCTCTCCCTCACTGGTGGCTGTGAGGAGTCAAGGGCTGAATATAAGTCAGAAAGCTCAGAAAAGGGCCTGGCGCAGGGTAGGTGCACCATCAGCGTACTCCAGGCCTCCCAAGTACCTGCCGGGGTCTGGAAAGGGCACGGCCTTGGGGTAGACGCACCTGGCTGCAGCCCTGGGCAGGCAGGGGGCAAGGCCCTGGGCTCTGAGGCCATGAAGGATTGTTAGGAAAATAAAGGAACACTTGAAAAGTTCCTGGCACATGGTGTGAAGTCAATAAATGGTAGCTGCTGCTGTTGTGACGGTGGGTGGTGGTGTGACCCCCTCAGCTCCGCACCCTCAGCCAGCCCACAGGCTCTGCAAGGCCAAGCCCCGCCCATCCTTTGCGCTCCAGCCAGCTCCTCCTCCAGTGTTCTCTCTGAAAATGTCATCGCCATCGCCCAGCTGTGCAAGCCAGACTCGGGAGGGATGCTCGGATTCTTTTTCCAGCCCCTCCCTAGTCTCTATCCCCAGAGCTCTCCTCTCTTGCCACTTATCTCCCCCCTGGTCTCCTGCTGCCTCTGCCACGCCACCTCACCCCCACCCTGGGTCCATTCACTTGAGCCAGCTCAAGACCTTTCCAGGGCATCCCACGGGCCTCTGGCTAAGGCCCAAGCTCTTTAACCCACTCAGTAAGAGCATGGTGGACTTGTTCACCACTGTATCCACAGGGTATAGCAGGGGACCTGGAATACAGTAGGCACTCAATAAATGCTGGCTGGCTGGAGAATAGATGAACACATGAATGTACCTATGCGCTGGCCATGCTGGTAAGAATGACAGCGATAAGAGTAACGAAAATAGCTGCACGCACACAGCACCCACCACCCACCAGGGCCTGCTCCAACGTTGTCACCGCAAAGTCACAGCACTCTCCGTGTGAGCAGCTGCTATTCCCCGATTTTACAGTTGAAAAATCCACAGCCCACAGGAAGCGTAAACAACTTGCCCAAGCTCACACAGCTATACGCACGGCTAGCTCAGATTCAAGCAGCACTCAGGACTATAACCACAGAAGCTCACATCCGCCACGCTTTGCCCACCCCAGGCACCAAATTCTCACGCCCGCCCTGCTGAGCAGGCCCTGAGGCGCAAAGCTTGAGACTCTTGCCCACAGCCAGGCAACTGTAAATAAGGACTGTTCCAGACGTCCCGCCTCTTTGCAGGTGAGTAAACTGGCATCCAGTTCAGTCACTGCAGCCGCAGGGATGCTCTCCTAGAGCCTGCTTATTTCTGGGGGCCCCGATGAAAGAACATTTCTGAGCTGTGGCTGAGGACCGGGCTGCGGACACAGGTCATGGGGAAGCCTTCCAGGCAGGTAGGCGCAGGGTTACAGCTCTGGGACTCCTCACCTCTGGTCTCATCGGGTGCTTCTTTGGGTTTTAGGACTTAAAACCTCCCCTGACCTTTTTTTTTTGAGACAGGGTCTCACTTTGTTTCCCAGGCTAGAGTGAGTGCTGTGGCGTCAGCCTAGCTCACAGCAACCTCAAACTCCTGGGCTCAAGCAATCCTTCTGCCTCAGCCTCCCACGTAGCTAGAACTACAGGCATGCGCCACCATGCCCGGCTAATTTTTTCTATATATATTAGTTGCCCAGTTAATTTCTTTCTATTTTTAGTAGAGATGGAGGTCTCGCTCAGGCTGGTTTCGAACTCCTGACCTCAAGCAATCCACCCGCCTTGGCCTCCCAGAGAGCTAGGATTACAGGCGTGAGCCACCGTGCCCGGTCCTCCCCTGACCTTAAAACCCATTGGAGACAGCAGCTTTCAAACCAGCTGGCAGCCCGTGGGACAGTGCCTCAGGGCCCACCTGGGGCTGGTGGGAGACACCCTATCTCTCCTCCACCAGAGAATTCTGCTTTTGTCCAGGGTTCTGAAGGAGCTTGCAATTGAGAAAAAAAAAGTTCTGCTGTCAAAATAACTTTTGAAAATCAGTGCCCTAAGGGATAAACGACCTTGTCAAGCAAAATGGCCTTCTCATGTCTTCCCGGGTGACATTCAGGGACCTGGATGCAGTAAATTCTGGCATGTGAGAGACAAGAGGGTGAGAATTCTGGTGTGCTCAGCCATGTCTAACGTCAAGGCCGCCCCAACTGTCCCTGCTCTGCACAGCGGGTCCTCAGCAGGGGCCTCTCTGTCTCCCAGGGCACAGCCGACTGTTTCTCCCACCAGGAATAAAGACAGGAATTACACGGCCGGGCGCGGTGGCTCACGCCTGTAATCCTAGCACTCTAGGAGGCCGAGGTGGGTGGATTGCCCAAGGTCAGGAGTTTGAAACCAGCCTGAGCAACAGCAAGACCCCGTCTCTACTATAAATAGAAATAAATTAATTGGGCAACTAATATATATATATATATGGAAAGCTCATATATATATAGAAAAAATTAGCCGGGCATGGTGGCCCATGCCTGTAGTCCCAGCTACTTGGGAGGCTGAGGCGGCAGGATTGCTTGAGCCCAGGAGTTTGAGGTTGCAGTTGCACATGGACCTGCTAGGCTGATGCCACGGCACTCACTCTAGCCCAGACAACAGAGTGAGACTCTGTCTGAAAAAAAAAAAGAAAGAAAGGACAAGAATTACATATTGGTCCCCCCCTCTGCCCAGCGACATGTGAGGTCTTGTCCTATTTCCTGTAACTTCACTATAGAACTGTAAGGTATTATTATCCCCAGCCTAGGGCAGGAGAAACTGAGGCTCAGAGAAGACAATGACTCCCCCAAGGATTCAAACCCAGATTGGTCTGACTCTAGAATATTCTTTCCACTGCACCCTTGTCTGCCACCTCCCACAGCGTGGCCTCTCATCCCTCTTCACCTTCCTGCCTGCACCTGGGCCCAGCTGGCTCTTCCAGTGCACCCTGCTCTTGTAAACCCCCCCTTGTAAATGCTGTTTCGTCTACTCCAAACACATTCTTCTCCTCCCACACACCCTTCTGCTGAGTCCCTCGATTCCTTTGGGAATCAACTTGGGCGTCACCTCTTCTGGGAAGCCCTCCCTGGATTCCCTGGCTAGGTCAGACGTCTGTCCTGGGCCCCCTCTGAGTTTCCGCCATCACGGCCCGGATGGCCCTGTGTTGTGGTCATTTGCTTTTCTGTGCCCTAAAGGAGACTTAAGCTCTTGGGGGCAGGGGCAGGGTCCAGGTGTACCGTGCTCACAGCCATATCCTACAACTGCAAGAGGCAAGGCACATAACAGGGCTCAAGAAACACCTGCTGAATGAGCGAATGTGTGTTCAGGAGATAGGCAGGCAGGCAGGCAGGCAGGCAGGCAGCCCACGACGTCTGCAGCACGCCAGGCCCTACCTGCCAGTGCTCCACGCCTCTTTGATCCACTCAACAAATCTTTGAGCACCAAGTAAGACATGGTGGCATAAGAAGTGGGGGAGCATTTGGCCAATCTGGACACAGGTGGTGATGCACCGCCTGCCTCTCTTCCCCCGCCCCCCACCCCCACCCCCACCCCCGTGGCAACCCCAGGCACAGGTGAACCACCAGTGAGGTTGGGGTGAGGAGCACTCAATGATTCTTCCCTGTTTTGCCATGTGCCAGGCTGGATCTCAGTCTCGCCTGGCTGCCCGCCTGCCTGCCTTCCCTCACCTGCCCAGTCCCTGGCCCCCTCCCAGCCCCAGCCCTGCCGTACCCGGTTGATGAGCTCGCCAACCATGCCCGTCCAGGAGCCATTGGGCTCGGGCGCTCCATACAGCCCGTCCTCCACCAGGCGCAGGCGGTAGCGGAAGCGCAGCAGCTCGGCCAGCTCCCGCAGCATGTCCACACAGAAGCCCTCGAAGCGCTCGTTCCCCGACAGGGCCTGGAAATTGGGCCTGCGCATGACGTACGGGTTCTCCTGGGCGGGCAGAAGAGAGCAGGGATCAGAGACTGGGCACCTGGGGGCTGGGCTGGGGATCCTGGAGCCCGGGCTGAGGCCCGGGGCCCTGACCAGGCAAGTAGAGCAGGAATCCACTGGAAAAGAGTGGGGATGATGGGTTCGCAGTGCACCTTCCTCACCTACAAGTGCTCAGATTGGAGAACAGACTGGAAAGCCAGGGCAAACACACATGGACCTGCCAGCCCCCAGACTGCAGGGAGCCAATTTAATCTCCACCAACCAACCCGACGTTCACTGGTCTCAAGCTCAAGTGCCTACGAGGGAGAAGGTAACTTCAGAGTGAATCAGACTGGAGGGAGCTTGTGCCAAACTGGAGCAGGGGCTTTCGAATTTTTATTACGACCAACAGTAACATACACATTTTACTTTGCAACCCAAGTCAACCCCACACACAGACACATGGAACTAGACTTCATTCCACAGAACAGTCCTTGCCCCTAGTAACTAAGGGCAATACACTGATATTTTCTGTTCTGCTATACTTAATTTTTTCACGTGGCCAGTAATGACTCACTAAACCAACTTCATGAGCCACCAATGGGTCAAAGAGGGTCCCCACCCCCTCAAGGATTTAGTTGTAGCCCAATGCCACCATGAGGGCAGCAGGCCTGAGATGCCAGATGGTGCAATTTCAAGAGAATTTGGAAACCTAGATTATTTTGTAAAATCTCCTGATCATAAATGTTAGCAACCAATTCAAATTTTAATACCAATTTTTTTTTAATGCTCTGCAGGTCATACAAACACACCATCTCTAGCCTACTGTCGGTTTGCTACACTGATGCTTCTTTCTAAGGGGTTCGAGCAAACTTTACTGACTCTTACTGAGCTAAAGAAAAGCAAAAGCAGAAAGAAGAGTCCAAGTGCTTGTAAAGTGAGGTGTATGACGACAACGGTGAGAAATGGGAAACTTATGCCAATGTAGATAACTGTCTAAATGATTGTGCAGTGCCACTTGGGCCAATGAACAAAAGGCCTGAGGACTTAAGGAACAGGGAGGGTAAGAGCTTGGGAAATGACACCCACAATGATCTCTGGGTATTGAGCACCATGATTACACCACTTCAATTCCTCACAGTGGCCTTGCACTAAAATGAGCATTATTAGACTCGTTTTACACATGTGGACACCAAGGCTCATGGAGGTCAAGTGACTTCTGTCACTTCTCATTCATTCACCACATAATTACTGAGCTCTGTGGTGATGTGGCCACGATATTGCTCTGGTCTCCAATCTACAGGTGGAGTCCACTATTCCTTAGGTCCAGACTCTTAGGTCTGAGCTGGCCTTGCGACCTGCTTTGGCCAATAGGACATGGTGGAAGTAACATTGTGTGTCTTCCAGAGCCTTGGCCTTCAGAGCAGCCTCTGGGGACCACTGTGGAAGGAAGCCCAGACCAGCCTGCTGGAGGCTGAGTGGACTACAGCGTACCAGCCAACAGCCAGCACCAACGACCATTCTGGACCTTCCAGCACAGTCTGGCCACCAGCTGAATGTGGCCAGAGCACACCAGGCACAAGACCAGCCACAGAACTGTTCCGTCGACGCATAGAATAGGAAAAATAACAAATTGTTACTGTTCTCAATCTCCGGGTCCTGGTGTAGTTTGCAATACAGCGATAGAGTCTCCTACTATGGGGCCAAGTGCTGTCACAGTGCTGGACTCCAGGACAGCACGGAGCCCCACAGCCACAGGGCGACAGGTAGTGGGGAGTCAGTGTTTCTCTCTCTGTCCCAAGCTGCCTTTCCAAATCCAAAATTGTGGAACTGGGAACAAGAATGTGAGATAATACTAATAATAGCGGCAGCAGCCAGCATTTCTTGTGGGCTTGCTGTGTGACAGCTCTTCTGTCAGCGTGGGAGGACGGTATTATTACCTCTCTTTTAGAGATGAGGACGCTGAGGTTCGTGAAGTAGTAAGTGGCCAAGAAGGACAAGTTGGTCTGGTTCCACAGCTCTGCTCTCATGCCCTGTGCTAGCCTGAGCTCAAACAGCCAGAAACAGAGAGCAGACATGGAGAAGCCAGACAGAGAGGAGGGACCCAGGCCAGGTATCAAAGCTGGAAAATCAGAAATCACGAATCCTAGAGACAAGTACCCAGCTCCCATACAGTCCCTCTTGACACACAGAGGAGGAAACAGGCTCGGGGATGTTAGGTATCTAGCCCAAGGCTGCAGAGCTGAAACAGGGCAGAGGGATGGAGAGGCAGAGTGGCGTCCACAACCCAGCACTGTGCACACTAAAGCCCTGGTTCCTTCCACTGTGCCAAGCTGATCCCCAAATTCAAGACTGAAGAATGTGGGTTCAAGATCTCAGAGTCTGAGTCGATAAGAAAAAGACAGAGACTGGGACCTGTAAACAGAACTCAAGATCAGACAACAATGATCTAGAACTGAACTTGAAGTCCCAGACCATCAGCACCAAAGGATCCTTAAGGAACCTGTAATCCAGGCTTTTCAGACTTCTTCAAAGAGAATCTTATTCGGAAGCCCAACATTGCAGACAGACAGCAGGACACTGCTAAGTCCAATTCTAAGAATTCATGCCACAAAGGGCTGTGCATCTATACACAAAAATGTAGGTCCAAGAAAGTCGTTGCAGCATTGCTTGTAGTGAGAACAAAGACTGAAACAACCTAATTTGGGACAAGTTAAAAAGATTATCGATGTCATAAAAGAATCCCAGGCAACCGCGAAAATAGCAAGGTCTATAAGATATATTAAGAGGAAAAAAACAAGCTACAGAACAACGTGTACAATATGCTACTGCTTGTGAAAGAAAGAGTGGGGACGTGCTTGTACATGGATAGACATTTCTGGAAGGATGGTGGCCTCTGAGAAAGGAAAATGAGAGACCAGGGAGGGAAGGAGGCTGATTTAACCCTTTTGTACTCTCTGAATTCTATGTTACCTAGGTTTGTATTAACTTCAGTCTCTCCCCCAGCGTTTATTATTATTTATTTTATTATTATATATTTTTTACAGACAGGGTCTCACTCTGTCACTCAGGCTGGAGTGTAGTGGCCTTATCATAGCTCACTGCAGCTTCAAGCCCCTGGGCTCAAGTGATCCTCCTGCCTCAGCCTCCCAAGTATCTGGGACTACAGGCACATGCCACTATGCCCAGCTAATTTTTCTTTCTTTTTTTTTTTTAGAGACAGTCTCACTATGTTGCCCAGGAGGTTGGTATTGAACTCCTGGCCTCAAGCAATCCTCCTGCCTTGGCCTCCCAAAGTGTTGAGATTACAGGTGTGTGCCACCGTGCTCGGCTCCTCAATGCATTAAGTTTTTAAAAATTGAAGTATGATATTTAAATGCATATGGAAATGCAAAGGGTTAAGAAGACCAAAGCAATCCTAAAAAAGAATATCAAAACTAGAGGATTTACCCCATCAAGTATTAACACTTAATTTAAGGCTATGGTATTTAAGACAATGTGGTATTGGAGCAAAAACAGACAAATGGACAACAGAATGGAGTGTGTGGAAACCCACACACATAAATGAATATTGATTTATGACAAAGACCAGGCTGTGGTGAAGGGGGAAGGAAGGATTGTTTCAATAAATGGTGCTATTCAATCAAATATCTGCGTGGAAAAAATGTATTCTGACCCCCTTGCCTTACACGACACATAAAAATCAATCCCAGGTGGATGACAGACCTAAATGTAAAAGGCAAAATTATTAAGTTTTTAAAAAACAAATAGGAGAATATCTTCACGGTCTTGGGGTATACAAAGAATTCTTAAATTCTAAAAGCATTAAAAATAAGGGCAAAAAGCCAATGGAGTGGACTTCAGTAAAACTAAAAATCAAATCTTTTATCCAAAAGATACTACTAAGAATGAAAAGGCAAGCCACAAAGAGCAAGAAGACACTTGCAAGACATACATCAGACAAGGGACTTGAATCCAGAGTGTACAAGTTACTCACAAATCAACAAAAAGATCATATATCCTAAATTTTTAAAAATAGAAAAAGACATAAATAGGAACTTCCCCAAAGAAGATTTCCAAATAGTTGATAAACACAAAAAGGTAGTTGACTGCCCTGATCATCAGGGAAATGCAAATGAAAACCACCACACGTGGTCGGTGCCTTTACACACTTACCCTGACAAAATGGGGAGCCACTGGGATTCCCATTCACCTACTGTTACTAGAAATGAAAGTGGCACAACCACTTTGGAAGACACTTTTGTAGCAACTACTGCAGCTAAGATACAGGTCCTGCCACCCAGCAGTGCCACTCCCTGGAATAAACCCAACAGAAACACCAATACATGTCCAGCAAAGACATGGAATAGAATGCTCCTAGTAGTACTATCTCTAATAGCAAAAAAACAGAAATAAATGTCCATCTAAAATTGATGGATAAGTAAATTGTGGTACATTCATACCATAAAACATACAACAATGAGATGAAGCTACTTGCAACAACATGGATGAATTTCATAACGTTGACCAAAGAAGGCAGACCAGGAGAGAACATACGGTACGATGCCATTTATATACATGTTCAAAGGTGGCACAGCTAATCTATGGTGACAGAAGGTGAGGCGGTGGTTACCTTTGGTGGATTAGCGCCTGGAAAGGGCACAGGAGGCTTGGGGTGGGGGCAGCTGGTTACACGGGTGTGTTCAGTTTTTGAAAATTCAGTGATAACTAATGCAATTTGTGCAAGTTGCTGTATGTATACCAAAAAATCTCTTGAAAGTAAAAACAAAAAATTGATAGGTTGTGTTTTAGAACATTCCTCACAAGCTGATTGCCTGAACTCCTTCATGGACCCAGGACCCATATTCATGTGCAGGACTTCCCGGAGTGCTGTTTATTTTATTTTATTTTTATTGTTATTATTTTAATCAGGTGTGTTTACCCAATAGAGTGCAGTTTAAAACACCCTGATCTAGTCCCATCTCATCTCTTCACTCCACTATGAATATTTTAACCCCTCGTTTCAAAGGAGGGAACTGAGGCCAGAGAGAAGAGACATGCTCAGATCGCAGAGCATGTGGACAAGAGTGCCAGGCCCAGAACAGAGCCATGAGGACTCAGAAAACAGCAGAAATAGAGGCAACGTGGTGCAAAGGCTCTGCCACCTTCTAGCTGGGCAACCTTGGGCATGTCACTTAACCCTGCTGTGCTTGAGTTTCTTTATCTGAAAATGGGGGCTGCTGTGAAGATCGAGCTTCACACAGGGCTCGGCACAGGGCTTGGCACAGGGCTCAAAGACATCAGCCACTCTGACTGCCTTTGTATCGAAGATACTTCCTGACATCCAGACCTGGCCCTGCCCTTTCCTGCCCAACACTCTCTCTCCAAGGCAAAGTGTAGGCACAACTGGATCCCTCAGAGTCCCTTCCCCACCTGCTGTCCCACAGCCCCTGGGCCACCTCTGCCCCATCGCTCACCCTCTGCACTTGCTAGGTGCCAGGCACCACTCCGGGCTCTGAGGACAGAGAAGAGAATGAGGCGAGTCCTGCCCCACATCCTGCCCCGGGCACCCATTCTGACTCACATTGGAATCCCCAGGTGCCCAGAAACCCCCGCCCCTGCTGCTCCTGCTGCCCGTGATGTTCTCTGTACACCCAACTCCTACGCAACTTCTAAAATCCCGTCTAATGCCACCTCCTCCATGAAGCCTTCCTCAAACCTGCTAAAGCTGAGTCAGTCCCTCCTTTCTTTGGAAGTCCCTCATTGTGGACATGATTGTGTCCAGGTGTGTCTCCTCCATCAGGCTGGGAGCGTCTCTCCCAGTGCCACTTGAGAGCACCTATGACTCATTTCTGAGTCTCTAGAATTTGTGTAAGGGCCAGCACACAGCAGCCGCAGTAAATATTTATGGAATGCATGAGTGAATCCATCAAGAAGTGAAGAACAATACTGGCTCCCAGCCCTTGAGGAGAGGGAGAGAGGAGTCTGAGACAGAGACTCGAAGCCCCCAGGCTCATGGCTCAGCAATCCTGATGTCCCTCCCTGACCTCTGACCCCTGTTCTCCAGTAAGGACCCCACCTCTTCTGCCTCCAGGAGGCTTCAGGGATTGACCACACACCACAGGCACAGGCCGCCAGCCCTCAGGGCCCCTCGGTGAGGCAGTTAGGAAGTGTCTGGTTTCCCGTCTGCAGGCCATCTGTCCCTCTGCAACAGGCTCACTGGCCCTTCTCCAGAGGGACTCCAAGTCCATTTTAGATCAGGAGTTCCCTAGGGACCGAGGGAACAGCTCTGCCACTTGCTGCTTTAGGAGACCACTGACAGCCCGTGGAACGCTCTGGTTCCTCAGTATCCACAGCTCTCAGCCAGCCCAGCTCCCTGAGTTACTGAGGGGCTCCCGTGGACCACCGATGCTGGCAGGCCATGGATTTGGCCACTGTGACAAGCGTGTCTGCCTGGCGTCTCTGCCTGGCATGTCCTGCCTCCAGGCCAGCTGCTCGGGGAAGCCTTCTGCTCAGTAGGCCCTGGGCATCACCTCCCCTAACCTCCCTCCCCCCACCCCCAGCACTGGTGGCCCATCCTGCCTGGTGGGAGGCAGCAGGGTGTGGTGGAGAGCACATGCTCCATGCCTGACTTTCAGCTCCACCAGGGACTCGCTGTGCGACCTGTTTCCCTACCTTCAAAAGCAGGAAAATAAGAGCAACTTCATGGGGAGCTGTGAGGTCTAAAGAATGACACCTGGAAAGGGCCTAGCACAGAACAGGTGCGGAACAGGCACTCAGTAAACACTTGTCACCACACATAGGCCCTCAGCCTCTGCTTCGGAAAACCGCAGGAGTGGCATCCTCAGGGCTAGCAGCCGATGTCCTCGGCTGGTGCTCAGGTACTGAGAGGACTGGAGCTTCAGAGCACTGAGGTCAGGACCCAGACACTGGAGCCTTAGAGACACAGCCTATGCCAGGTATTTCTGTGTGACCCTGGACAAGTAGCTTCCCCTCTCTGAGCTTCAGTTTCCACATCATCAAGATGGATAGTAAGTTGGCATGAGTCAACACACTCGGTTGGCAAAGGTGGCAAAGCAACCATTCTAGTGACCATGATTAACGAGGGCCCAGCACAGGCCAGACACCATGCGAGGAGCTGGGGTTGACCCTCCCTCCCCCCGGGCAGTGGTGAGGATGGTGATGCCTCCGTCACAATCTAGGGTTGTTGGGTGCGTGGGGTCATACCCCCACTGGCCTGTGCCAGCCAAGGCAGCCCCTACTTCACAGGGCAGCTAGGACTGGGCTCAGGAAATGCCCAGCACTCAGCCCCTTCACTTACCACACACCCTACGTCCCCTTCTAGGGCCACTCACCAGGATGGTCGTGACCACCAGGGTCTTGTTGGCCAGTGTCTGCGACAGGTTGATATCCAGGGTAGTGGCATTCATGGCCAGGGTCCGGTTAGAGTACCACACCCCAATCTGGGGACAGAGAGCATGCTGTCAGTGCAGGCCTGCCCAAGGACATGGCAGCCCCTGGGCCTGCCCCCGTCCCAGCCCTCACCCCAGCAGGGCCCCGGCATTGCCATAGGTCTGCTCACCTCACGGTGGCCCTGCCGGGACTTCTCTAGAATGCGCAGGGTGTAGTTGGTTCTCTGCCCTTTGCTGTTGAACTCGACCCGCCCGGTCAGCCCATCATACTCTACCTAGCAGGGCGGGGAGGCGGGGCAGAGGGAGGGGGTGGCAGGGCCAGAGTCGGGCAGGAAAGGGCCAGGGGGATAAGACAGCCACGGAAAAAGGAGCATACAGGGTAAGGGGGAAAAGAAACAGGGAGAGAGACCAGGAAGACCGCAGTCAAAAGAGCAAGACAACGTGTAAGGAAACAAGGGGACGAACGGAACACAAGGGGAAAAGAACAAGACCCAGAAAGAGAGGGAGCAGACGAGACAGGCAGGGAATGGCCAAGTGAGGCAAAGAAGGAGGAGGCCCAAAGCCCAGAGGTGCGGGTAGGGTGGGAGGTCAGGGGAGAGGGCAAAGGCCACAGGGTGGACACAATGAGTGCCGCCACCCAAGGCAGCCACTGCCCTGTCTCCTCTGCCCGCCCGCTCCCGGCTCACCATGCGCAGGTAGTTCATGAGGCTGGTCCCGTGGGGCCAGATGTTGGCCGACGTGCAGGCCAATGGCTTCACGCCGATCTCTTGGCTGCGGTTCAGCTCCCGGACAGCGCTCACCACCACATGCACGGCATCAAACATCAGGGCGGCCGACAGCTGGGGTGAGGAGAGGTGGGGCGGGATGGCAGAGAGGCAGCTCAGCCAGGGGAGCCCGGAAGGCCCTTGTGGGGCTTCGCCCCAGCCCTCACACAACTCCTCTCTCTCCAGGAATGGGAAACTAGTGGGTTGGGAGCCAGGAAGTGGTTCTAGTGTCTTTCTCGGGAAACGTGGAGGACAGCTGGGAAGGTACAGGCCTTGGGGGAGTAGCTCTCCTGGACTGTGCATGGCCATGTGTCTCAGACAGGGTTTGCCTGGACAGCTAGCTGTGCCACCCATGGGGGCAGGTGTGGCTGACACAGGCTGGAGAAGACAGACACGGTACCTGTCTGAGTGTGTCTGGGGCATGTTTATGTGAATGGGGCTGGACAAATGTGCCCTTCTGTACACGGTGGGTGTGGTGTTGGGGAGGCAAGACAGCATCACGGTGGATGCTGGGCCTAGAGACGGACAGGTTGCAGCTGGAGGCCCAGCTGGGCTAGTTCCTGACTCCATGACATGCCACATCCCTGTCCCTCTCTGAACCTGTTTCCTCCTCTGTAAATAGTAAGCTCTGCCTCTAAGCACTGTGGTGGGGACCCAGTGAGATAATGCCTGTGAAGTGCCTGGAACAGTGCCTGGCACACAGTGAGTATCCGATGCAGCCTGGCCGCTGAGCTGTGACCAATGACCATGGTGTCTATGTGTGTCTGTGAGCGTGTATCTTAGCAGGGTGGGTGTGAGGGTCTATGTATCTGTGTTGTGTCGGTGTGCACAGAGGTGTGTTCCAATGTGCGTCTGTGTCAGTGTGGGTGATGTCCCCTCATGCATACATCTGGTTGTACGGCTGGGTGCCTGTGTGCACTTCTGTGCGTGTACAAGTCTTGCTATATGAGTAGGTGCCTGTGAACAAATACACATGAATATGCATCCTTCCTATGTCTGCATTTATTCAGCATATATTAGCAGACACCTACTATGAGCTAGGCTGTTTTAGGTACTCGGAATACAATGGTGAATGAACTAGAAACTCCTGCCCTCATGGAACTCACAATCTTTAAATCTATGTCTATATATGGGTATAATATAGAGTAAGCCACATGGTGATCATATAAATAAAGTTCTGTGGGAAAACAAGGCAGGGAAGGGGGCTAAAAAGTAGGTAGTTTCCCATTTTTTAAACAGGAGGACCAAGGAAAAATCTTACAACCGGAGAGACATTTATGCAATGACCTAGCGACAAATGGGTGAGCTGCTGCTTCTCTGGGAAAGTGCGGGGGACACAGAGCGAGAGCGTGTGCAAAGGCCCTGGGGTGCACCTGTGCTTGGGTGTGGTGCGGCATGAGAGGTAGCAAGGAGAGGACATGGGTCAGACTCATCATGGGACGACTGCTCACAAGGCTGGCATGGGAGGGGCCGGGATCTCAGCCGGGCCCATCTGCCTCCCAAACCCTCAGGCCATACCACAGGCCCCTGGCAGTGTTGAAGGACTCTGAGCCTGACCTGAGCAAGGTCTCAAAGGGGCCCCTGCAAATGTCTGTGCGCAGGGTGTCACAGGGTGTCTGTGGGCTCACCGCGGGGCCGGGGTAGGTGCTGGCTTCACAGTTCTCCCTCCAGGACATGTTGAGGCTGCGCACAAACTCCGGGTAGAAAGGGTGGGAGGTGTTGAACATGGAGAAGCCCAGGATATTGGAGGAGTCTTCCACGATACCGTCTAGATGCAGGATGGGGAAGTCCTGGGACCAAGAGGAGGTGGTGAGACCCGGGGCCTGGCCCCGAGTGGGCAGCAGAGGTGGGAAGGAAGTGGGGGCAGGAAGGGGCCCGAAGGGTACGCACCATGGTGGTGAGGATGTACTTGTAAAATGCCGAGGTCATTCCCAGCTCTGAGGCCTGGAGGACGCAGGCAGTGAAGAGGCAGCGTGAGAGGCAGACACGGGCAGAGAAGGGGAGACCCAAGAGGGGGGAAGAGATTTAGAGACGGGCCTGGCAAGAAGACGCCCCGTGGAAAACTCAGTAAGACAGGCCCAGAGACGGACAGGGAGGAGGAGACAGTGAGGGCCAAGTGAGACCTTGGTCCTGTGCATCCCGCCATGCTGACTGGTGCCCCAAGTGGAATGGGGACTTTGCTGGAGGAGTGAATAGGGCCCTCAAATGCCCCCTGTCCCTCATTAGCACACTTCAAAGACTTCTTTCTTTGAGACAGGCAAGAGGAAGCCTCAGAAACAAGGTGGAGAAGAAAACATTAACCTCAACCCCCCACACACACTCTCCAAAGCCAAGTGTAAGCTGATAATGAGCAGAGCTGAGCCCAGTCGTAAGTTCAGAGAAACTCCCCCTGCAATCTCTAAAAGCACTCTCCAATGAAAGGCAGCCAATTTGAATGTTAAGATTCATTTTTGAGGTCCCTTTCTCATAGTCCTCGAGAACAAAGCTGGAAAACCTCTCCCTGTCAGGAGCGCCCAATCCCGTGCCTCTACGAGAAATGGAACACGAAAGGGCAGCAGCTTGCATTTCCTGGGTGGTGGGTGCTGGCTCTCACGTGGCTGTCAGGGAAGAGCAGGCGTGGGGCGGCAAAGGACGACTGCTCACAAGGCTGGCACGGGAGGGGCCGGGATCTCAGCCGGGCCCATCTGCCTCCCAAACCTGCAATCTCTTCCACAAGCCCTCCTGCCTCAGGGGCCCGATGGGTTCTGTTCACACTTCTTTCTGCAAGCTACGATTAGCAGTGACATTTGGTTTTAATTTTTTTTTTAAGTGGAGAAAAATAAATAACACAAATTTGATTATAAAGAAAACTTAAGAGCAGGAAAGCAAATCAGTGATTAATGAGTGTGGGTCATCAGTGGACAGAACATGCCAGGCCGTGGTGGGGGGTCCTGGTGCTCTGGCCCCTCCTGTGTGCTCTTGAGCCAGTCCTTCCCTTCGGAACCCCAGCTTCTTTACCCACTAAATGCTCATGACGCCTGCCCTGCAGGGTGGGGAGGCAGACAAATTAAAGAATGCACACAAAGTGCCTCAACATGGGGCCTCAACAGCCTCAGTAAAAATCCTACAGCCAGGTTCAGCACCTCATGCCTGTAACCCCAGCACTTTGGGAGGCTGAGGTGGGAGGATCACTTGAGGCCAAGAGTTTGAGACCCTAGCTCCACAAAAAATTAAAAAAATTAGCCAGGCGTGGTAGCATGAGCCTATAGTCCCAGCTACTCGGGAGGCTGAGGTGGAAGGGCCCACCTCAGCCCAGGAGTTCGAGGCTGCGGTGAGCTACAATCACTGCACTCCAGTCTGGGCAACAAAGCGAGATCCCTTCTCTAATGGAAAAAAAGTTCCAAAGTAGCTATGACTTAGTGGTGAAGCTGAGCCAAGCATGGCCCATGTGCTTTACCTCCCATTCCCTCATGAACCCTCACAGCGTCCCACTGAGGCAGGAACTGCTACTGTCTGAGGGATGAGGTGAGAGTCTGGGGCCATGCAACCAGGAAGCAGCTAGGCTGGGAGACAAACTTTATGATTATCATCTGCACATAAGAAGAGTGTCTTAACATCCTTGTTGGACCACTAAGGCCCATGGGCATTGGGTGACTTGCTCCCAGTTGTCCCATGTTCCTGCCCCTGGCCTTTTAGGGAATCAAGAGATGGAAGGGGGGCCCACCTTACGGAGGATGAGGTGGGAGATGGACGCGTTGGCATCAATGATGATGGTGGACACCTTGTCGTCTCGGATCTCCTTAAGCAGTGGCGTGGGGTCCCGGCTATCGTCCAGCATCCTCACTGACAGCGTCTCCTTGGAGATGAGGAAGCCACGCACCAGTTCCTCCAATCGCAGCAGGCCTGGGGGCGGGGGTGGGCCTCAGGTTGGAGCTCTTCCAAATTCATGGGCATGGAGTGGACATGGGCAGCTGGGCAGAGGACTGGCGGGCGTGCCGAGGTGACGGGGTGGCTGTCCAGAGTGCAGCTGGATCCCTTGGGCTACTGGGCTTAGGGACCTGAAGCCTGGGTCCTCCCCAGTTAAAACCCCAACCTAGACCTCTCCCCAGAACTCCAGATTCCTGTCTCCACCACCTTCCTGACCCCCCACCAGGATGTCTGATGGGCACCTCACACATGACACTCCTACTCTTCTAGTCCAAACCACCGCATCCCGCCCATGTTGGTGAACAGCACCTACAGCCTGCCAGGCAGCACAAACCCTTGGTGGCAGCCTGGTGTCCTCTCACACCCATGTCCAGTGCATCCAGGCCCCACCTTCAAAACACACCAGACCTCATCACACCATGGCACTGTCACTGCCCTGGCCCAAGCCATGGCCACCTCCTGCCACACTTGCCCTGAGTCTGTTCCCTACAATGCAGCTGAAATGACGTGAGTCATATGTGTCCCTTCTCTGCTCCAAACCTTCCGATGGCTTCTCATTTCATTCAGAGTCCTAATAGCCAAAGTCCTCACAGCCTCCAAGTCTCCACGTGACCCATTCACCACCCCCTACCCCATCACCTTGCAGACCTCCTCTCCTGTCGCTCCGTCACTCACTCGCTTGGCTCCAGCCACACCTCGATCACGCTCCCATCCTGTGGCCTTCCTGCCTTGGCCAGGAACCCTCTTCTCCCACGTCCCCACATGACTCCCTCCCTGCCCTCCTCAGGTCTTTGCTCAAATGCCACCTTCTCAATGAGGCCCTCCCCCCATTTCATTTAAAATTGCAGCCCACCCCCATACCAGACTCCCGGTCCTTGTTACTCACAGTGCCTCCCCATGGAACTCATACTCCGCACCACATAACGTGCTTATGTGCGGTGTTTACTGCCTCACTCTTGTACTCGGAACATAATCCGACAGGGGCAGGAATTCCTGACTCCTTCCCTCCCTGCTAGATCCCTAAAACCAAGACAGCAGGTGCCCAGTAAATACCCTTGGAAAGGGAAATTGCTCCAGTGGTCACAGAGCACAATGCTTTCTCAAGCTCCACACCCACAGATCCACCAGCCTACCGACAACTCCTGTGACTGTCTCAAAGATACATCGCACTCAACACGTGCCCCAAAGGATTGTGCTCCTCCTCCTTGGCAGAAGCCCCTGCCCTCTCCCTTCCCCCGTCCCCGAGCCCATCCTGGCCCCTCTGTCCTAACTGCCACCACCTGAGCCCAGATCGGTGTCAGTACTGCCCTGCCTCTCGCTGGGCTCCTGCCACATCTCGGGTCACACTCTTGCCTGTTCTCTACACTGAAGCCAAAGAGCTCTTCCTATGACACACATGCCCTGGGCCCCTCACCCTGCCCTGTGTGGGAACCTTCCCCAGCTCCCATCACCTCCTGTTTCATGGCTCCCACACTTCAGCCAGCCACTGGGGGCATCTTCAAGCCTCTCAAAGGGGCCTTGCTCCCCTGAGCCCTTCGCCTCTGTCCCCGCCATACCCTCTGCTCAGAACATGTTCCCTCCCTCCCTCCCCACCCTTCAGGTTCAGCCTGGATGTCCCTTCTTTGGGGCTGCATGCTCTGAACCTCCCAGATGGGCGAGGATCCCTCCTGTGTGCTCCTAGAGGCCCCACACACCTCCTGGCAGCACACATACCACTCCGTATCACAACAGCTCAATGACCTGCGTGTCCACTAGACCGGGAGTCCTGTGCACTCAGGGACCACACCCAGCACTGCTCCCTGCTCACCTTCCAGGGCCTAGCAGAGGTGCTCAGTCACCATCTGCGGACCAAACGGGTCTTTTTTGGAGAAGGAGGAAGGGTCTGTGGAACCAGAAGTCTGGGTTTCCGAAGGGGACAAGATGTGGGGATGAGGAGAACCTGGTACCTGGGTATCCTGGGGTCCTAACCAGGGGGCACTGAAGAACTGTGAGGGACACCAGATCTGTTGGGAAGGGACGTTTGGAGGAATAAAAAACAAAACATCCAGTTCTCCTCCCTCACACTCAGCCTTGGCGCAGATGAGGCTAGCCGAGGGGTAGTTGAAGGACTTGAGGATTCGGGAGACTGCCAGGCTGACGTCCTCGTTACTGGGGTACAAGCTGACAGACGCGAAGCGAAGGTACTGAAGGCGGGGCGTCTCTTCGGGACCCACCTTGATGTGGGGGATCTGGACAGAGAGGGAGCTTTGGCTTCCATCCTGCTCCTCCTCCCAGGGACCCGCTCCCCCACCCACCCAGCCCACGCTCCCACCTCACCTCCTTCTCCCCACAGATATGGCTCACGGTGGAGGCAGATGCTGGGCTGGAGGAGGGCCCCAGGACAGACACGACCCCCTTGGGCAGGATCTGACACACTGCAAGGGACAGGGAAGAGACCACAGAGTCAGGGACCCCCTGAGTCCTTTCCTCCATCCTCCAGGGAGCCACCCTGGCCCAGTGGAGGATCCAGACACTCAGAGCTGCCTGGTCCTCTTCCACCACCTGGGACCCAGAGGGATAATCCCTGACCCACCCAACACAGTGACAAAGGAGGGGGCATGAGACAGAGACAGACATGGGGAAAGAGCAACAAAGGGACAGGTCAGACCAAGAGAGATCTAAGGAAGAGACAAAGACAAAGAGACAACAGGGAACCACCAGTCTGGCCTGCAAATCCAGTGCTGGGTTCCTCAGCCTTTGTCCTTCTCAATCTTTTTAGACACCCCCCTCACCTGAACCCACAGCTGAGGGCCCCTGGGTCCTCTACACCCAGACACCACTCTTCTATGGCATTTACTTGCTCCTCTTTCTTCTGCTTTCTTTCCCCCTTAAACATGTGTGTTTGTCTCAAGACTGGGAGGAGGAAGGCTGTTGCTTTTGCCTGTCCAATGCCTGTTCTCATGGCAGAACCCTAACTTCTCCTGGGGGAACTACCCCCGCCCTTCTGTCCATGTGGCTCCCAGGATTGACCCGCACCCGACTCAGGCCTGGTCAGTGCAGAGACATATCCCCCCAGCCACAGACTGGTTCAGAGATGGGTATGGGCTCAGATCAGGTCTGCTACAGGTATTACAGGGTTTGCTAAACTGGTGAGATACAGGCTTTGAGCTGCTGGGCCATCTTGCCACCAGCTAGGGAGAACATTCCTAAAAATGAAGCCAACCCCGAAGAAAGCAGGGCCCAGAGTGTTATATTTGAGATTCGCAAGGCCGCAGGATCTTACACAGAGATAAAGACAGAGAGATTCTTGGGACATTATTTCAATGCCTGGATCTAGCCATGCCTGAAACCATCCTGGGACGTACATTTGAGTACGTGGATCCAGTCGTACCTGAAATTAGTTCTTAGGCCTTTTAGTAACATGACCTAATAAGTTCTCTTTTTGCCTTAAACCAGCCTGAGTTGGGTTTATGCCACCTCTCATGAAAAGCATCATAACTGAACGACTCATCTTCCTCCAAACTTGTTCCTTCTGTGCCTTCCTCACCATTTGCACAGACCAGATGCCTGGAAATGGCACTTGTCTTCAATTCCTCTCCTGACAGCCAATTAGTCACCAAGTCCTAGCTCTTCTTTGTCCTCAGTTTTCTCACATCTGTCCCCTCTGTCCCTGCCCTACTTTAGGATTCTCAACTCAGGCATATACCAGCCTCCTCACTCATCACCCAAATCCAGCCTCCAGATTCTCCTTCCAGACACCCATCGATGGCTCCCCACTGCCTGCACATGGAGGTGACATCTTTCCCCCTGGCACTGCGGTCCTCTCCAGCCACCTGCCAAACGGCCCAGCCTCACTTCCCACTGCCCTGTCACGCTCAGCCTAGAAGTCTCTCACAATCTCCCCAAACATGTCCTAAATCCAGGTGGTCAGGATGGACTCACCCCTACACCCTGTTCCTTGGCTCCAAATACTTGGCTCCCCCTGTCCCCTACCCCAGCTCCAGACTCTAGGTACATGCCTGAAATGTCATCTGCCTCCTCATCCTCCATCCCAGGTTTCCCCAAATTGTGCTGTACGCTGCACCAGTCAAAAAAGACTGGGAAGGCCGGGCGCTGTGGCTCACGCCTGTAATCCTAGCTCTTGGGAGGCCGAGGCGGGCGGATTGCTCAAGGTCAGGAGTTCAAAACCAGCCTGAGCAAGAGCGAGACCCCGTCTCTACTATAAATAGAAAGAAATTAATTGGCCAACTGATATATATATATAAAAAAAAAAAAAATTAGCCGGGCATGGTGGCGCATGCCTGTAGTCCCAGCTACTCGGGAGGCTGAGGCAGAAGGATCACTCAAGCCCAGGAGTTTGAGGTTGCTGTGAGCTAGGCTGACGCCACGGCACTCACTTTAGCCTGGACAACAAAGTGAGACTCTGTCTCAAAAAAAAAAAAAAAAAAAGACTGGGAAACTCTGTACCCCTTTCTACCACTCAGTGATTTGAAACATACATGAACATAATAAAGTCTCTGATAAGGCCTGCAGAAAAGAAAATTGTCTAAAACACATTTTAAGATAGCATCTCCCAAAGGTCTATGACCCTAAAACATCTGTTCAAGTGAGACCTATGAACATTCATTCAGCCCATTATTATTCAACAAACACTTAACACAACCCTACCATGTAGCCGGCCATGCTTGGAGCAAGGCCACTCCTTCTACAACTTGTTCACCTTTCAAAGCTCAGCTTCAGTCTAGCCTTCCCCAAATTGCCTTCGCTGACCCCTGCCCTGAGCCCTTTGGCCTTGCTGTCTGGGACCCTTGATATTCAGCTCTGGGGACTGACAAGTGTCCTCAGCCAGCTGTGAAGCTTCCTCCAAATGAGGCCCTGGGATCTTCCAGGGTAGGACTGGAGCTTACGCTCTCACCCAGCAGCAGCTGCCTCTGGGAAGGAGAAGGCAGAGACAGACACGAAGGAAGGGGCCAGATGGAGCTAGAAGAGGACAAGGCTGAGCTGGAGGCTGGGGCACAGGGACACACTGAGGGCCACTGGCCTGCCCTGCCTCACCCCACGCCCCTGTGGCCCCGCTCACTGGTGTCCGTGGTCTCGTACTGGCTGTCCCGCTGCAGCTCAAAGATGTCTACTTCCACGCGGGCCTTGGCTGGGACCTCGATGATCCCGTTGATCTGCTCCCGGGCTAGGGCCAAGGCCAGACGTTCACCACGGCCACACACTGTCTGGTCATCCAGGATTGCAGCTGAGGGGACACAGGGGTTGGGGACCAGACTCCAGGGTCCTGAGGAAGGAAGGGGCTGGGGTCCTGGACTCTGGAGTGAGGCTGGTGTAGGGACTAGGGGCCTGGACTCTTGGATTGGAGGGTGGCCAGAGCTGGGGGTCTGGACTCCTAGGTCCAGGAGGAGGTGCTGGAGGCTGAGACCCGAGGCCCAGACTCCTGGGTCCTGAGGAACTGGCATGCCTGGGTCCCCAGAGAGGAGCCCGGGGCCTAGTGGGAGGGTCTCTGAGGAGGTGGGGCAAGGTGCTGAGGGCCTCACCCATGCGCAGTGATGAGAGCACCTGGCAGCTGGGGCTGGCGAAGGCAACAATCAGCAGCAGCAGCAGCTCAGCCGGCATCTTCCTCCCCTCCTCATGGGGACGCAGCTGCCGCGGCCCCCACTCGCCACCTGCAGGGAGATCCCCAACCCATGGGGAGACTGCTGATGTTGGGGGAAGCAGCCCCTTGGAGGACTGCTGGATGAAGTGGCAACCACAGCTCCTAGGACATTGGTGGTGAGGAGTTCGCAGTTCTGAGGGCCCTGCTCTCGTTAGAAGCTTGCAATACTGAGGGCATTGCTAGAAGGCTCACAGGGCACTATCAGAGAGGAGCTCACGGCACTCAGGCCTGCGTGGGACAGGCTGGGAAAGGATGGGCACAGCTACCGAAACAGCAGGGAAGCATGTGAATTCTAGGGACCAGTCCCACCCCAATAGGAAACCAGGAAGTACCACCCCCCACCCAGTCCCGCCCCTGTCTCTGGGCAGGCAGCCGTTCCCAGGCAACAGAAACTGGCTGGAGAGGATGCGGTGGTTGCTAAGCAACTCCATCCCAGGCCTCACTTGCCACTTTCCTGACGTCCCTGGTTCCCACAATCCCATGGGGAGAGAGGCCTGGACATCCAGGGTCTGGAGGAGAGAATGTCTAGGAGTTAGAAAACTTGGGGAGAGATCGGGGGAGGAAGAGGGAAAGACATGGAAACCCAGATGGATAAACTTAAAGCAGCAAAAGGACCAAAAAACATATATTAAAGAGAAAGGAGGCTGGACACGGTGGCTCACACCTATAATCCTAGCACTCTGGGTGGCCGAGGCGGGTGGATTGCTCGAGGTCAGGAGTTCGAAATCAGCCTGAGCAAGAGCAAGACCCTGTCTCTACCATGAATAGGAAGAAATTGGGCAACTAATATATATAGAAAAAAATTAGTCGGGCATGGTGGCGCATGCCTATAGTCCCAGCTACTTGGGAGGCTGAGGCAGGAGGATTGCGTGAGCCCAGGAGTTTGAGGTTGCTGTGAGCTAGGCTGACGCCACAGCACTCACTCTAGCCTGGGAAACAAAGCGAGACTCTATCTTAAAAAAAAAAACGAGAGAGAATTTTCACCAAACTGATGCTTTAAAAAAAAAAAAAAGTAAAAAAAAAAAAAAAACGAGAGAGGAGGGGGAAACAGAGAGATAGAAAGTGGAAGGGAGGCTTAGAGAGGGGAAAGATGAAGAAACTCAGAAAAGGAAAAAGGAAAAAACAGGCAAAAATACAAGGGAATATAAAGATGATAAGACAACAGGAAAATGGGGACAGAAATGGAGAGAAATGGAAAGAGAGTTACAGGGACCTAGGGACAGGACTAGGTGAGAGAGAGGGAAGAGACAGAGACATGCAGAGATGAGATGGAGAAGGCACAGAGCAGGGAGAAGAGAGTGGAGGAGACTGGAGAAGGAGATACAAAGGCACAGGAGAGACAGAGAAAGAGGAAGATAGACGATGGAGAGAAGACAAACCGATCAGGGTTGCGACCAGGGAGAGCTGGAGGGTGGAAAGTAAGGCCAGGAGTGAGCTGTTTGCCAGAAGTGGGTGTCCAACTGCTATCCCCCACCCTGCTCTGGGACCTGAAGCACAGGGGTAGACAACATATCTCTGCTCCTCACAACTCTCCACCCCCAGGGAGTCAGGGATTCCTCCAGGTACCCCTGGCATTCCACAGGGCAACCACTGAGCAGGGAGGAGTTTGACCAGATGTGCAGCTCCCCCTGGCTCAGGGCCATGCCCCAAGGGAAGGGACACTTGGGTGTCCATGGAGGACGGTTACTGTGGGGCCCAGAGTGCAGTGAGGTGAGCCTGGACTCCCCCATACTTCACCCAGTCCCCATGGAAGGAGGAGAAACAGTGGGATGAGAACTGCCAGGGAAGGGCAGAGACACAAGTCAACTCTTCTGACCATCTTGTGGGTCTAGGAAAACCCAGGCCTGAACAACAGGAGACTAGAATAGTCCCAGCTCTGCCCCCGACTCACTGTGTGACCTTGAGCAAGTCACCACTCTCTCTCTCTGGGCCTCTGGGAAGGAGAGGCTGGAGGTGGAGGGTATGCTGGGCAGGCTGGTGGCTGCAAACTGTAATGGGATCTAAGGTGAAGGCTTGTCAAGGGTGGAGGAGCAAGGGATGCTGGGAGGCCCGGAAGGAGAGCTCACTGGGAGGGTGTGAAGGGTGGGGCTCAGAAAGGCAGGATTGGGATGGGTCATCCTGAGACACCAGGGACTTCCAGGGCAAATCAGGGAGCCGAGACTAAAGGACAGAAAGACTGAGGAAGAGATGAAGCAGAAAGACAGGGACCCACAGGTGGGAGCAGAAAGATAGAGACAGAGTGTAGGACAGGGTTATGGGTAAGCGAACAGACACAGAGGTACAGGAGGGCTCACACAGAAGGAAGCAAAGCCCAAAAAGTAGGACCTGAGGCTAAATGAGATACAGACACAGCCTAGCAGTGAGATACCACAGGAGACAGAGATAAGACAGAGGGTGTGAGAGGAGAGGGGAGGGTGTCAGGCAGGCCTGAGACTGGCAGACTACAGACTTAGGCAAAGCTGGACAAAGGTAGAAACACAAGAAACAACTGAGTCAGGGGCCACACCCAGGAAAAGAGACAGACAAGTGAGTAAATGAGAGCCATCAGTCAGCCAAGGTGAGAAGCAGGCAGGTGAGTGAGGACAAAGGGGGTGAGGGAGTGGGCAAAAAATAAACAGCAGCTGGTACAAGAAGCGTGGGGAGGAGAGAGACAGCAAAACTCCGGAAAGTGAGAGAAAGCATGTCAGAGCTGCACCGAAGGCCTCCAGAGGAGGAAGGGGCAGGGGGAGAAGCACACAGGGGGAGAGACACTTTCAAACTAGGAGAGGAAGAGCATCAGGGAAGGAAACTGAGGCGGGGAGGAAGAGTGAGTGCCCTGGAGGAGCACAGGCAGAGACAGGGCATGCACCCGCTCGAGGGGACAAGCCCACATGAGGTACAGCCACCCTGAGACACTCAGGGATGCCCTGCGGGGGAGGAGAAGAACCCAGGGCCCAGAGCCCCAGAGCCCCCAGGAGCAGGGAGGAATGGGAGCGGAAAGGCCATGCAAGGTAACGCAGATGTGGGGAGAGAGGACGGGGGCGGGAAGAGCGAGCCCAGCAAGGAAAAGCCAATGTGGATGCCGCCAAAAGGCAGGGACGGCAGCGGCTAAGGGGTGAGGGATGGAGGAGCCTGGTGCCCAGAGTGGATGAGGGAGAGCGGAAAAAGTGAAAGGACAGTCTCAAGCCCAGAGGCGGAGAGAGGGAGGGGACCAGGGGAGCACAGGGACAGCAGAGGCACAGAATGGAGAGAAGTGGAAAGAGACCTGCCAAGGGAGCCTCAAAAGAGAGACAGGAGACACGGGGAGCTCCGACAGAGAGAGAGGGCTACCCACAGGGACATGCCGAGGAAGGGCTGGGCTATAGCAAAGAAGAGAGAAGTTGGGCAGAGTCTGCAAGAGGCCCAAGAGATGCATGAAATGGAGACTTAAAAACAGAAAGACATTTCCAGGAGAAAGAGTCTGGATGGGATGGGGACAGGGCCCAGGGCAAGCAGAGGGGATTAGGCTCAGAGGAAGGAAGAGAGAGAGAGAGAGAGAGAGAGTCCGTCTGGGCTGGGACCAGGACTGAGGCTGGGAGAAAGCAGGGGCAGCGACATGTCAGGGGCCTGGGAAAAGTGAGCCCACAAGTAAGACACAGTCAACCCCTTAGGACCCCAGGAAGCTGGGGGTCTGGGGCAGGGGTAAGCTGCACACCCAGAGGGGTGAGAAAAGGTCGAGGTGAATGGAGGCTGGGGAGATGGAGGCGCAGAGCAGGCCCCTGGTGGGGGAGGGTACTTGCCAGTTCGGGGAGCAGTGGGGGCCCTGCCAGGCGGCACTGAGCCCAGCCTTCCAGGACCCAGAACCCAGCCCAATCCCAGCCCGCAGACACTCACGGATCCTGGTGGGACGGAGGGCTGGGCTCCCTCGAGGCCCGAGGAACGACAATGACAACGGGAGATGCTCTGGCGCTGGGTGGTGGTGTGGCTGGGGCGGGGGGGAGAGGGCAGTCCACAGGGCCCCCTCCCCCGCCGCCGGTGGTGGCCCCCAACTAATCCAAAACGGTGGCTCCTCAGGAGCAGGGAGGAAGGACAGGTGGAACAGGAGAGGGCGGGTCAGGGAGGGGAGGAAGGGGAAAGGAGAAAATGGAGGAGAGAAGGGGAGAGAGGAGAGGGGGAAGGAGCAAATGGAGGGGAAGGAGGGAGGAAAGGAAGAGAGGAAGGTGAAAACAGAAGGGGGGGCACAAGCAAAGCCGGGGGAGGGGGAAGCCAGCCCGGGAAAGGGCCCCCGCCCCCTCCCCTAGCCAGGCCGGCCTGGGGGGGCCACAGGGGGTGAGGACAGGGTGGAGAAAAGGAAGCCGGCCATCAGGAAGAGTGGGGGAGGGGAGGGCCTGATTGGGGGGAGGGGGCCACCCCCTTCCCCCCTCCCCCCAGAGCCTTGGCCCTGCCCTGGATGAGGCAAGGGCCCGGAGTCCTCAAGCCCTCAGCCCCCACGGGAAAAGCATGCTGGGGGCCAGGAGAGGCCCGGGAGTGGAGAGGCTGGAGAGGATGGGGTGCTGGGAGACCGGGAGAGGCCGAGAAGGGGGCAGACGAGGTGGAGGGATGGGGAGGAGGGAGAGGAGGAGAGGAGGAGGGAGGGAAAGAGGGAAGGGAGCAGGTGGAAGAAGGCGGAGGAGGGTGGGGTGTCCCGGGGGCTCCCGGCACAGGGCCTGGGCGAGAGGGCCTGGCCACAGACTCCTGGTCCCTTGCGAGCAGCAGCCGCTGCCACTGTCACCGGCTCCAGTCCCTGGCTGGGCCTGCCTCCCGTTGCTGGCCACCGCCACCACCACCGCTGCCGCCACCGCTTGTCTCCCCTCCGAGGCCGCCGCCTGCCTGCCCGCCCGCCCGCCGCCCGCGCTGGGTCCTGGAGCGCAGGGGGGCGGGGTGGGGGGGAGAGAGATGAGGGAGGGAGGGAGGCAGGGAGGAGGGCTGGCAGGAGGAAGGGAGGGAGGCAGGCAGAGAGCAAGGAGGGAGGGGAGTCGGGGGAGAGGGAGCCCGTATTGGTTGGGGCTGGGGGCCCCCGCGAGGAGAATGCTGATGAGAAGAAGGAGCTGCATTGGATGGAGGGCCCACCCCTGGCCACCCCCTCCACCACCCCATGCCACCGCCCTGCCCAGGCAGCCCTGGGCACAGGAGCCCACGGAGATGAGAGGCGGGGAGACCCGGGGAGAAGGCCATGGAGACGGGAGGAGAGGGCTACAGAGATGAAGAGAAATGCAGAGAGATGAAAGACAGCCATCAAGACCCAGAAAGGTGGGCCAAGTCCCACAAACTCACAAGGACAAGGACAGGGAAAGGCCCAGGGATAAGAAAGCCCCAAGGAGACAAGGGAGCAACCCACAGAGACATGAAAAAGGAAGGAGACAAGGGGCAGTTCACAGACACAGGCAGCTCCCCATGAAGGAAAAAAGGAGAGACACAAAGCACTCCCTTGGGTACAGGGAGCATCCACAGAAATGGGAACAAGGTAGCACATCAGAGAGGCAGGGAGAGGGCCAGGAGGAGCTGGAGAAGGTCACAGTCACTGGGCGGAGGCCCACAAACATCAGGGGACCCAAAGACACATGGATGTGGCTCATAGACACAAGAAGCCCACTGAGGCAGGAGTGCCCAGCCATAGAGATGAGGGAGAAGCCCCCCAAAATAGAAATAGCTTCCACAGAGGTGAAGGGATGGATGGTGAGTATGGGGATTCTCTGTCATGCATAGAGAAATCCTCCGGACACAGGGAGATGAGTGGGAGGGAGCAGAGAGGCAGTGGGAAAGAGGGTGGGACAACAGGGCAGGGAGCTAGAGGGCAGAGCCAGGAGAAGCAGGAGACTTCCTCCCAGGAACACTCTGCAGCCTCTCAGAGGGAGTGGAGCAGGGCAGGAAGATGGAAAAGAAAGCGAGCGACACAGATCTTAGATTGGGGGTGGGTGGTGCACGGCTGGGTGGGGGTGAAATTTGGGGGAAAGGAACATGACAGTTGGTGCTGAAGGCTGAGCCCGTGACTCACCACCACCCCCGATGCTCGTGATGGGGAGGAGACACTGACATACTCACGTGCAGCCCCCAGCACATGTGACTGCATGCCTTGAACACACAGCTGGCACATGGCAACTCTAGGACTACATGCCAGCCTAGCATGCGAAGCCCTCAGCAAGCTGGCATGTGGGGTATCCCCAACATACATCTGACCCCAAAGGATCACCAATTTTGTCCTTAGCCCCAGCCAGACCTGAAAGCCCACACTCATACTGGCTTCTAGGCCTTTGCTTACGCAGGACCCTAATGTAGAACACCTTTCCTCTTTAAATTGAACCTGTCCCAGAAGTCCTAGTCCCATGCTACCACCTCCAGAAAAACTGATCCAGGCTTCAACTTACTCCTGTATCATTTGAAGAGGAACCTAATTAACCCAATAACTTGGGCAACCCAAAGTCCTAGCAGAAAGGACCCTGAGAAGTTAAGCTAGACCCTCAGATTTTTAAATGGAGAAAAGAAGGCCTTAGCAGAAGCAAGAACCCGCCCAAGTTCAGAGAACTTGTCAAAGACTGAGCCTAGCTTCCACTTCTTGGGCTACACCCCCTCCCCAGGTGATTTTGTCCTAAGGGCAAACCCAGACTGCCTGGAGCAGATTGGAGCTAGCTTTAGCCTCACTGATTACCACCAATGTCTTTCCTCTACTTTTTGCATTCATCCCCTCAACCTAAACCACAAGCCTGGGGGGACTTATAGATCTTAGACCTAACTCCTGGGTTAGAATCCTGGCTCTGTCTCTTCTGAATTGTGGGAACTTGTAAAAATTACTTAATTTCTCTGAGCCTCAGTTTCTTTGTAAAGTTAGGCTAATAATTTCTCCCTCACAGGAGTGTTGGGAGGATTAAACTGAATAACCAATGTAAAGCACTGAGCATAATACCTAGCTCGTCATGACACACCCAGGAGATGTTAGCTATTATTATTAGACTCCTGGAGATAATAATAAAAATAACTAACTCCTACATAGATCTTGCTCTGTGCCTCACAACAATCATGAGACAAGGGCTGTTATTATCCCCATTGCACAGATGAGAAATGGAGTCACAGGGCAATTGACTTGCCCGAGGTCACAGCTAGGCAGTGGCAGGGCCAGGATTCCAATCCAGGCAGCATGGTTTAACCACAGGGGCCTGATGTTAGGGAGTTCAATCCACGAGAAAGTTAGAACGTCTAGTGAGAGACCAAATGGACACAGCAAAGCTAATGACTGAACAGTCAGACGTGGGTCTTACTCCGTGTTCCATCCTCTAGCAGTTTTCTGCCTCAGGTAAGTAAATGACCCAACTGTGAGACTCAGTTTCCTCATCTGAGAAATGGGTGGTGGTGAGGGATGAGAGGTTGAACCAAGTGAATTTCTTGCAGCTCCCGTCCTTGGGTTCAAGGAGTAGCCCTGGAAACAGTGTTAAGGGCACTGAACCTACTCACTCCCCAGGCCCTGAGTGCCGCAGGGGAAGGTGAGTAGGGATGGCCACAGTCCCATGGACACATTGGGCCCCACTGTCCTTGAGCTGCTTAGGGTCAGTCACCCTGTAAGGAAGCAAAACAGGGTCCTACAGGCTCACTTCCTTCAGGTCCTCTACCCTACACTCGGTTTCTTCAAACTAAATTTTTTGTTCCTGCTTTTCCTTTTCCTCCAGATTCCCTCACCTTGCTTTCCCTCTGACATATCTACATATCTCCTCCCTCCCTCAAAAAAAAAAAAAAGAAGTTCCTTTGGGTTTTTTCTCTTTTCGTTCCTGTTGCCTTCACTCTTCTCTTTTTAATAAAAGAGTCTTGAGCCTTGGTTTCTCTTTTCTCTCTTCATGTGACTGGTGTCATTTTCCCCTCTCCCATTAGCGCTGAGTGGTGTTTCACTTTCTCCCTTTGACCCCTGGAGGTTTGTAAGCCTCAACTCCCGGCTCCCCGGAGGGCGTCGCGTGCCTCAATTTCCCAGACTTTGCCCCTCCCTGACACGGACGCCAAATCCCGCCCGGCGCCCCCAAGATGGCGGCCGCAGCCTCCCTCCGCCGCCTGACGTCATCACGCTGCCCTCCGCTCAGCGCTCCCCTCTCGAGGCGTCAGAGGCGGAGTCGACGAGGAGTTGGAGGAGGAGTATTCTCCAGGGAGGTTTAAGGGGGCGGGCATTATCAACCAGGGGGCCTGCCGGTGAGGGACCGTCGCTAGCGGATTGGTTGGGCTCTGCTGGGCTTCTCAACGCTCTGCGCTATTGGTCCAAGCCTCAGAGACATGAGCGTCGATTGGCTGAACGGCAAGGGCCAGAGGAGCGATGATTGGGTGCGTTCGGCCGTCCGCGCGGCGGCCGAGGAGGAAGGTGGGAGGGGCGTTGCTGAGGGTGGCTTAGGGATAGAGCGAGGCTGCCGAGCAGGCGAGACGCGACGGCGGGAGCTAGAGAGGCGTAGCGCTAGGGTGGCCGTGCAAGGGGAACGGTGGCCTGGGCCTGGGTCCGGATCCGGGGCAAGTGAGACGGCCGAGGCAGGTGAGTGCAAGCGGGCGCACTGAGGGCCGGCCTTGCTCCCCACCCTCCCCCGCGGCCTCCTCTCGTCACCCCGCCTGCGCGCTGAGGGCCCGAGCGGGGCGCGCGCCGGGCGGTGAGGGCACAGCGGCACCAACGGCCGCCGGGTCGCGCGGGGGGCGGGGCGGGGGCCGGGCCGGGCCGGGGCGGCGGGTGTGGAAGGGGTTTGAGTCTTATGGCGGGGCTGAGTGAGGAGAGGCGGGGCTCGGGCTGGGGGCTGGGAGGAACCGGGGCGGGAAGGGGAGGCCTTACAGCTGTCCCTGAGGAGAGCTTTGAGGCTCTATAGGGTGTTGGGGTGAAGGGCTTGGTGGTGGGACGAGTTCAGGACCGCAGGAGGTAGGGCGGTTAGACGGCGTTTGGGTTCCTGGTGAAGGGTTTAGGGAGTGAGAAAGGAGGTGATTAAAGTTAACATGGGGAGGGAATGTAGTTATGCTTGGGCAGAATTAGGGCAGTGAATTGGTGTGAAAAGGTATTAGGAATCTCTCTAAGGAAGAGATCTAGAGCTAAGGGAGAGGTCCAGGTGTGAAGGATGGGGTTAAATTAATATGAAGAGACGTTAAAACAATGTGTTGGGAGGGGGTTGGGTACCCTTCGAATGCGTTAAGAGTGGTCTCTGCGCAAAGGAGGAATATGTTAATAAGAAAGGGGTTTCTAGGTGTCTCTAGAATGCGCTGGGAGGGTTTTTTTTGTTTTGTTTTTTAAAGTACAGGTAATTAGGCCAAAGTGAAGGTGGGATTTGGTTATTGGGGGTGTGGAATAGGGTGGCAAGAGATCTGTGTGTTAAAAGTGGGGTGGGTTCTGGGTATTCCTGGAATGAGAATGAGGTGGTAGGTTGATAAATTGGGGGTCTGGGTATCCCCAGAGCAGTAGGCTGGTGAGAGGGCTTTGGGTGTGAGGAAGAGGTGTCTGCAGGATTAGGGTGGTGATGGGGGGGTTCTGCCTGAAAAGAATAGGGAGGCTGGGAATCTCTAAAAGAGATTGGGGCAGTGGGAGGGTATGTGTGAAAGGAATTTAAGCCACATTGTGAAGGGTCTGGATATCCCTGGAGTGGGTTAGAGTATGTAGGCATCTTTTTGTAAAGAAGAGGAGTTAAGTTGATATAAGATGGGTTCTGAGCATCCCTGGAATGGGTTAGGGTGGGGTTGGGTTTTTTTGCAAATAAGAAAAGGTTGAGTTAATAATGTGAAGGAGTATCTGGGTATCCCTGGGATGGGTTAGTGTATGTGGGTGTATAAAGGGTTTAAAACAATGTGGAGAAGGTATCTGGGCATCCTCAGAATGGGTTAGGGTGGGCCTGTTTGGCAAAGAAGAGGTGCTTAGTTGATATGAAGAGAGGGTGTGGGTATCCCTGAATGAGTTGGGGTGGTTGTATATGAAGAAGAGAGGTTTAAGTCAATGTGAAGGGAGGATATGGGTATCCTAGAAGGGGTTACAATTGTAGATTTGGTCTTGGAACAAGGAAGAAGTGATTAATGTGAAGTGGCTGGATACCCTAGAGGCATGAGTTAGAGTGGTAGGACGGGTCTAGATAGGAAGAAAGGATTAGGCTTTTGTGAGGACGGGTCTGAGTATTCTGGATGGGGGGGGTTTAGGGTTGTGGGAGAAGGCCTTGGTTTGTAGAGGAGGTTCAGTAGTTTAAGGGGACGGCTGGATATCACGAGGAAGTTAAAGTGGGGAAGGTGTGAGTGTGGGAATAGGTTAGTGTGAGAAAATTTGGACAAGGGGTAGTCGAATGTGTGGAATCTGGGCACCATAGGAAGAGAGTTAGTGGGTAGCAGGGGTTGTGTGTGAAGGAAGGTTGTACCATGTAAGGGTACTGAAAGTGGAGTGGTGTGGCATTGGGACAGCTTGAATAGTCTGAGTGTAAAAAGAGGTCCAAGAACCTGGGAGAAGGAGCAGAGGCCATGGGAGAAGTGTGACTGGGAGAAATAGGCAGTTAAGGCTTATGTGAGGTTTCACCTGGGTACCTTTGAGAGGGAATGGGGTACTTTGAATTCATTAGGATAAGAGACAGGTTGCTGTTGATGGGTGGGACTGTGGGGCCTGCTGGGAGGCACAGAAGATAAGGGGATTGGACAGGTTACAAGGATCTGGTGGGTGGAGTTTGGTTCCAGTTGATTCAGAGGTGAGATTTGGGGTAGATTCTGGGGAAGGGAATGCTGGGAAGATTTTTATGTTTGGTGTTTTTGTTTTATGTTAGGGAAGGAAGGATTGTTAAGGGATGGAGGTGGGATTAGACAAGTCAATAGAAGTTAGAGGAGGAAATAGATGTAAGGCTTTGGGAGGTGGGAGTGATAAAGGGAAGAACTATCGCTGGGAAGGACTGAGGAAAGTGGCTTAACTGGTTTGTTCCCACTCTCCCCTCTCCTAGCCCAGGGCCTTGCCGCCACCATGACTGAGGAGTCAGAGGAGACAGTCCTGTACATTGAACACCGCTATGTCTGCTCTGAGTGCAACCAGCTCTATGGATCCCTGGAGGAGGTGCTCATGCACCAGAACTCCCACGTGCCGCAGCAGCACTTTGAGCTGGTGGGTGTGGCTGACCCTGGAGTCACTGTGGCCACAGAGGCAGCTTCTGGCACGGGCCTCTATCAGACTCTAGTGCAGGAGAGTCAGTACCAGTGCCTGGAGTGTGGTCAGCTACTCATGTCACCCAGCCAGCTCTTGGAGCACCAGGAGCTGCACCTGAAAATGATGGTACCCCAGGAGGCAGTGCCAGCTGAGCCACCACCCAAGGCACCCCCACTGAGTTCCAGCACCATCCACTATGAGTGTGTGGATTGCAAGGCTCTCTTTGCCAGCCAGGAGCTCTGGCTGAACCACAGGCAGATGCATCTCCGGGCAACACCTACCAAGGCTCCTGCCCCAGTAGTCCTAGGGTCTCCAGTTGTCCTAGGGCCCCCCATGGGCCAGGCCCGAGTGGCTGTGGAGCACTCATACCGAAAAGCAGAAGAGGGTGGGGAAGGGGCAGCTGTTCCATCTGCAGCTGCCACCACCACTGAGGTGGTGACTGAGGTGGAGCTGCTCCTCTACAAGTGCTCTGAGTGCTCCCAGCTCTTCCAGTTGCCGGCCGACTTCCTGGAGCACCAGGCAACTCACTTTTCTGCTCCTGCCCCAGAGTCTGAGGAGCCTGCCTTACAGCAGGAAACGCTGACCTCATCACCTGCAGAGGAACCTGTGTCTCAGCCTGACCCCTTGCCAGCCTCCGACCACAGTTATGAGCTGCGAAATGGTGAAGCTGTTGGGCGCGATCGCCGGGGGCGCAAGGCCCGGAGGAACAACAGTGGAGAGCCAGGTGGGGCAGCCACACAGGAGCTCTTTTGCTCAGCCTGTGACCAGCTCTTTCTCTCACCCCACCAGCTACAGCAGCACCTGAGGAGTCACCGGGAGGGTGTCTTTAAGTGTCCCCTGTGCAGCCGTGTCTTCCCTAGCCCTTCCAGTCTGGACCAGCACCTTGGAGACCACAGCAGTGAGTCGCACTTCCTGTGTGTAGACTGTGGCCTGGCTTTTGGCACAGAGGCCCTCCTCTTGGCCCACCGGCGAGCCCACACCCCAAATCCTCTGCATTCGTGTCCCTGTGGAAAGACCTTTGTCAATCTCACCAAGTTCCTTTATCACCGGCGTACCCATGGGGTAGGGGGTGTCCCTCTGCCCACGACACCAGTCCCACCAGAGGAGCCTGTCATCGGTTTACCTGAGCCAGCCCCAGCAGAGACTGGAGAGCCAGAGGCCCCGGAGCCCCCCGTGTCCGAGGAGAGCTCAGCAGGGCCCACTGCCCCAGGCACCTACCGCTGTCTCCTGTGCAGCCGTGAATTTGGCAAGGCATTGCAGCTGACCCGACATCAGCGTTTTGTACACCGGCTAGAGCGGCGCCATAAGTGCAGCATTTGTGGCAAGATGTTCAAGAAGAAGTCTCATGTGCGTAACCACCTGCGCACACACACTGGGGAACGGCCCTTCCCCTGCCCTGACTGCTCCAAGCCCTTCAACTCGCCTGCCAACCTGGCCCGCCACCGGCTCACGCACACAGGGGAGCGGCCCTACCGGTGTGGGGACTGTGGTAAAGCCTTTACGCAAAGCTCAACGCTAAGGCAGCATCGCCTGGTGCACGCCCAGCACTTCCCCTACCGCTGTCAGGAATGTGGGGTGCGTTTTCACCGCCCTTACCGCCTGCTCATGCACCGCTACCACCACACGGGCGAGTACCCATACAAGTGTCGTGAGTGCCCTCGCTCATTCTTGCTGCGCCGGCTGCTGGAGGTCCACCAGCTCGTGGTTCATGCAGGGCGCCAGCCCCACCGCTGCCCATCCTGTGGGGCTGCCTTCCCCTCTTCTCTGCGGCTCTGTGAGCACCGCTGTGCAGCTGCGGCTGCCCAAGCCCCACGGCGCTTCGAGTGTGGCACCTGTGGCAAGAAAGTGGGCTCCGCTGCACGGCTGCAGGCACATGAGGCAGCTCATGCAGCTGCTGGGCCTGGAGAGGTCCTGGCTAAGGAGCCCCCAGCCCCGCGGGCCCCGCGGGCCACTCGCACACCAGGTGCCTCCCCGACGGCCCTCGGAGGTACTGCCACAGCAGCTCCTGCGACCCCTGCCCGGCGCCGGGGTCTGGAATGCAGCGAGTGCAAGAAGCTGTTCAGCACAGAGACATCACTACAGGTACACCGGCGCATCCACACCGGTGAGCGGCCATACCCATGTCCGGACTGTGGTAAAGCCTTCCGGCAGAGCACCCACCTGAAAGACCACCGGCGCCTGCACACAGGTGAGCGGCCCTTTGCCTGTGAAGTGTGCGGTAAGGCCTTTGCCATCTCCATGCGCCTGGCAGAACATCGCCGCATCCACACAGGTGAACGGCCCTACTCCTGCCCCGACTGCGGCAAGAGCTACCGCTCCTTCTCCAACCTCTGGAAGCACCGCAAGACCCACCAGCAGCAGCATCAGGCAGCTGTGCGGCAGCAGCTGGCAGAAGCAGAGGCTGCTGTCGGCCTGGCTGTGATGGAGACTGCAGTGGAGGCGCTGCCCCTGGTGGAGGCCATTGAGATCTACCCTCTGGCTGAAGCCGAAGGGGTCCAGATCAGTGGCTGACCCTGCCCTGTTTTCCCCTTCAGCACCATTGTGTCCTGTTGCTGAAGGCCTTCCAACATCCCCTTAAACTCTGTACAGACTGTAGCCCTTCCCCGTCCTGTCCCCACCACTGTGTAAGTTCTATAATTGGATCTGTTTTCCCTTTTGGGGTCCTTGATATGCATAAAGGTACTCCCCCTACCTTCCAACTTTTAGCACTGGTAACCCCAAAGTGAAATCATCAATAAAGACTGAGTTGGAGATTATGAGTTTTTGTCAGACCCAGGTGTGTAGAGTGGAATTTGAGGAGTCATGAGGCCAGGTACTGGGTCTGACTTCACCAGCACCCAGAATGGGGCCTGGTGGATAGTAGGAGCTCGGTAAATGTGCTGGACTGAAGAGAAGGACCTGGCATCCACAGGCATGGCTCTCAGAATGGGGACTTCACTCTGGTACTAGAGGGGGCAGCATGGCTTTCTTGCCACTAGAGGTCCCCAAATCCCTGTGGAAAAGCTCAAAGCTATTTCTGGTGGTTGCAGGAACATAATTATAGAGATCAGATTCTTAGCACCCCTGTCCCTCACTTTGGCCTGATACGGGCTGTGTCTCCCAAGGCTGCCTGGTTTTCTCACTGGATGCCTGAGGGCAAATGCAGGCATGATCTGTGGGGCAGTAGAGGAGGTTAGCACCTTGGGCCACACCCAGCTGTGGGGTTGGAGAAGATTCTGAATAATCTGTGCCTGCAGGTCGGAAGCCTCAGAGAAGGTGCCTTGAAGCCCCCCAGCCACCCAAAGAATTGGACTTTGGCTCAACCAACAAATTTTTGTTGTGGGGAGGGGGATCACTGGGGTGGCTGGCCTATGTTTGAACATATACTTAGTCTCAAGTACCTTCCTATATTATTTTGAAAAGTGTTCATGCTAATCCTATGAGAACATTTTGCAGGGAAGGAATCTCCAGTCAGAAACATTGAGATGACTTGACCAAAGTCAAATTCAACCCAGGCAGGGCAGAGCTGGAATTTAAGCCTGGTTTCATTTGTTTTAATCACCTGGTGCTTTCCTTTCCACTCCCTGCCTTTGGCCTACTTGGGGGAGGGTGGTGAAGACAGGAGATGGGGAATGTGTGACTGATGGAAATGCTGAGTTGCTGGGCTAGCCTTGCCTCTAAGATCCCCCAACCTCCAGATTGCTCTAGGTCCTTCTCTGGAAAGAGAACCCCAATGGAAGCTATTTATTTTGAAACTCTGGGAAAGGGAGGCCTAAGAACTGCCTTTGCAGTCAACTCCCTTTGAGGCCTTTAGCCCTCTGCAGGCACCAGGGCTCTAGGACATAGTTTTTGAAAATCACTGGTTTGACCTGTTCCTCAGATAAGAGGGCTAGAAGTTAGGTCTCCTAACTCTACTACAATATGCTTATTTTAATAATTTTTTAAAAAGAAAAAGCACTCACCCATTTGATGTCCTAACAGCTCCTGTGAAGAGCAAGTCTCTATTAAGCAGTTGTTTCTCACTAGGGGATGTTGCTCGTGGACACCATCTTTCAGTTACTGCGTACCCTGCAGAAAGGACTTGAGCCATCTAGCCCAGCATTCCGGTCCCCCTAATTCCCAGATAAAGTCATAAGTGCTTTTAACAATTGGAGCAGTCATCCTTACAAAACCAGATAAAAATCAGGCCGAACGAATCAAGAATGGGGAAAAAAAAAACTGAGGTTAACCAGATGCTCTCAGCAGAAAAGAATGGCTCTGTGACAGTGGTTGGCTATACTTGCCCCACTGTTCTTTTGGGGAGCCTCAAATGAAAGTTTTAGACTCCTACCCTGCGAAAAGTTTATGTGTACAAACATGTTTATGAACAAGTTCAGGGGATTCATTGTTCTCTGTCACCCACTGAAACTTGCATGGTCCTCAACTGAACTGTGGTCCTAAAAAAGTAGCACAGTAACACTGATCGCTTGGATGCTGGTGTTCTGTTTGGATGGTTCCCCAATGTTAATGTGTGTTAGGCAGTTCCCTCCGAGACTTCCATCCAACAGGCCGATCTGGGATGAGACCTAGGATTCTGCTTTGTGCACACACACCAATCCTGATGAAGGTGGGCTTGTATTGCCTGTTTTTAGTTAAAATGAAAGTTGCATAAGCCAAAGTAGTCAAGGGGACAGAATGCAAGTCACCTAGTGTCCAGTACAGGTTTTGTTTTGTTTTTTAAGAGAGGGGGTCTTGTTTCGTGCAGTGGCGGATCATAGCTCACTACAGCCTCGAACTCCAGGGCTCAAGTGATCCTTCTGTCTCAGACTACTAAGCAGCTGGGACTACAGTGTGCAGTACCATTTATGACTAATTTTTTATTTTTATAGAGACAGGGAGGGTCTCGAACTCCTGGCCTCAAGCAGTCCTCCCACCTCAGCCTCCCAAAGTGCTGAGATTACAGGAATGAGCCACTGTGCCAATATGTTCTTAACAAGCGAATCTGACTAGAAGGCTGGACACAGAAAGCAGTTGAGCACACTCACCAGGCTGTAAGTGGACGTGGAGTTAAGGCTTCAGGACAAGTGGGGAGCTCCACAGTGCTCTCAGGTGTGCCATCTGCTTGTCACAAGATGGCCTGGATGACAAGGAACTTTAGAGTCTCTGTGGTTTTGACTGCACCACCCTGAAGGCAGCAGGTTTGACTGAATGATTTTCTCTGTATACTATCCTGAAGCTCCTTCCCTGCTGCCTTATTTTGAGAGCTGGGGAGGTGCTTTTTCTTTCAATCTTGCCAAAATGATACAGCGCTAACTTATCTTACTAAATTATCAAACCCATCTCCCACTCTTTCTTTTTCCCGTGCCTCCATCCCCAGTCTTCACTGTTTAATTTGCAGGGTCCTAGCACCTGTGTGCCAGGCATACCTCAGAGGATGGAACAGTGACAAGGAAACCCAGTGGTTTCTCAGTATATTTTCATTGATACCATTTCTGATTTTCAATAGTGAGGTCTTGGGGGTCAGTCCATGGCCTGGAGGCCTAGGAGGCTGTTATTCGTGCCAAATGACTTAGTCAAGATGGGCACAATAATTTGAGTAAGAGCTAACGCTGCTTTAAAAAGGAAAGGGGGTGGTGTGAACATTGCACCACCAACTTCACAGTCAACTCTGGTTTTACAGGGTCCTTTTAGTCTTCTTGGGAAGCATCCAGGGATGGCGATGGGGAAGTACTTGCTGTTTCCTAGCTTTCTCATAGTTCTCGTTTGGGGAAGATTGTGCTGGAAAGCTGTCCTAAGCTCTTACACCATCATCTCATACAATTCTTACAACCCCGTGAGGTGTAGGTACTGTCCCTGTTTTACAGATGAGGACACTAAAGGTCACATATCCATAAAATGGCAGAACTGAGATTTGAATTAAGGAATTTGAATTTGTCCTAAGTTCCAAGACTTGGCTTTTTTGATTGTTGAGAAACCTTGTGCCTCCATCCCCACAAGAGGCATCCACTTCCGAACATTGACTATTTGAACAGAAGTAATCACCAGCCCAGCACACACATCCCCATCCCCATCCCGATTTCCTCACTGTGCTTCCCAGGAAAGAGGAGACCAAGGGAGAGCAGGCATCATTTCTCTCTGTACAGTTTTTAATTTTTTATTTTTTGATGTTTGTTGTTCAGATGAATGACACACTCAAGTTACAAAAATGGGGCCTTAAAAGAAGCACATTGTACAATGAACAAGCAGATTGGAGTTAAGAACACTGAAACGCTAACCCGCTACCACGAGAAGAGACAGGGTGAGGGTATAGGATGGGAAGGGTGGGGCTGCCAACACAGGGGTCAGAACCGAAAGGGGGGCTAACTCGGTGAGAATGTGGGAAAGGCAGGTCTACTCTGGGGCCAACTCCTTTTCCGGATGCCACTTGCGTCTCCCTTGCCCACTACTTGCCACCCCCTCCGACTCCCCTCACCCTCCAGTCCAACCTGGTCCTTCAAGTGAGTAGGTGAGATACCCCACACCAGAAAAGGCTGAGCCAAGCAGACCTTTCCAGGGGAGGGTGGTCACCTTACCCTAGTGCAGCCCTGGATTTCGGAGGTAATGGTGGCAACAGTGGGACAAGAGGCCAGAAAGGAGTTGATCAAAAGATCAGGCCCCTGCTTTTCCCAAAATTCCCTGCCCTTTCCCCACCCCACCATGATCCAAAGGCCCTCCATGAGTTGTTGAGAGGCCCCCAGTCACCCTGCAATTATATAAATAAATAAATACTGAGCCCCTGGGCTTGGGGGACAGGTTGGGGGAGGGGCAGCAGGAGTAGAGGAAAGGAAAGAGGAGGAGGAGGGGAGGGAGGCAGAGGGGAGGGGTCACAGACATAGTAAATAGTTGTCTCCGTCCCAGCAACACTTCTCTCTGAATTTTTCTCTCCTTTTTTTTGTTTGTTTATCAAGGAGCTAACATCTCAAGGACAAATACTTAAAAATATACATTATTTTTTCTTTTTATTCCGCTTTTGTCATCATCGTCGTCTTGCTTTGGAGACTGCTGAGGTCAAAGTTCAAACCGCACAAAGGACCTGCGGCTTGGAGTTTTTTGTGTAATTTTTTTTTAATTTTTATTTTTAAATTTTTTTCACTTTTTTTCCAACATATAAAAAGGTAGCGGAGTTGTCTGTGGGTTTTTTTTTTTTTTAATGGTTAAATCTTTGGTTTGTTTCTTTTTTCTCTTGGAGGCCTTTATCTCTCGCACTTGCCTTTCCCACTCAGAGACCAGTGGGGGCCCGCGTGTCTCAATCTTGCTCACTCGGTCTCACTCTCTCTCTCACTCAGTTCCCCCTACCCTGGGCTAGAGAGGAAGAGAGAGGCACCCTGGGGTTTGGGTGGATGAGAAAAACTATCCAGGTTCAGAGGTCACTCCTGACTTGGCTAGTCCCTCACCATATCTTCCCAGGGCTGGAAGGCCCTTTCTTGGCCTTCCCCAGGGAGGAGATGGGCGGAAAACTCACATCCTTCCCCTCCTCCTGATCTTAGCCCCAACTCCTACAAGGGCTTGGGTTCCCCCATCCCTACCCACCCCACACACATCCCGACCCCACCCCCCAGAAGAGAACAGAGAGAGGTGGTTTAGTTACTGGCATATTTTTTTTTTGGCACAATTAAAAGGCCTACCATGAGGGTAGACCCAGCCTCTGTTCCTCCCTTATCCAGGAGGTCAGGGTTGAGGAGAAGAGAAATTCAGAGGGCTCCCCCTTGCTCCAATCCACCCCTCTCTCCTCTCTTTCTAGCCCAGGCCCCTGGCCCCCCACCTTAGACACCTAACCTAGCCCAGAGCCTGGCCTGGGGTTTTCCCCTCCCCATCCCCCACAGAAAGCTCCCCAGCCCTCCAACTCTCTCGCTCACACACAGACACACGGACACAGGCTCTGTACAGACCACAAAATAAAAACGATGAGATAGTTTTGTTTCCCGGAGTCGAGGGGGACCGGAGTGGAAGGGGCAGAGGGGGGTGGAGGGGGCATGAATTCCCCCTTCACCTCCCAACCCTGGCTCCCTCCAGCCCCCCAGCCCCTTGCCCTGGCTGGCCCCCAGCCAACGATATTTGGTTTCTTTTTTTTAACATTAAAGTTCTATGAGGTATTTGGTGCCTTATCTCGAGTCCTCGGGGGAGGGGGGCCCAGGGGGGAGACCTGGGGCTCACCTGCCCCTCCCTCCCTCCCACCCCCTTCCCAATATTTGGTTTCACAGCTGTAGTTAAAGCTTGGGATTTGGTTATTTTTTCCCCCTCCCAGGAATTTTCTTTTTTCTTGCTTTACTTTTCCCAGTTGTGGGGGTTGGATGGGGAGGGTCCCCAGTACCCCCGGCTGCATGGGGGTCCCTCCACCAATGTCAGGGCATCTGCCCCATCCCTGCCCCCTGCTTCCTCCTCTGCTCTTTGCCCCACCCTGGGGTGGGAGAGGTCCCAGGTGGTGGGACTTGACCGGGAGGAAGCAGGATGAAGTGGGTGGTGGTGAGTCCTGGATTTTCTCTTTTTTTTCTTTTTTGTTTTTTTTTTTTTTTTGGTCTAGAATCATAGTTTTTGTTTGAGTCATCTCCACCATGCCTTCCATGCTGCCTGTCTTCTCGGAGGGGGTTTTTGGTTGTAATTCCTTTCATTTTGCTCTGCTCAAATGTCCTTCCTATCTGGTCAGGAGCCCTTGGCCCCCTCTCCACCCTCGGGCTGGGGCCCAGGCCCTCTCGCCAATCCCTTCTCTCTTCAGGAAATAAACATGGACAAACTCAGAGGTAGGGTAAGGGCAGGGAGTTGGTTCGGCAGAGATGCTTACATTCCGGCGAGGATGGGTGGACATGGTGCCAGGCCCCATTGGTGCCAGGGGTGGGGGGGCGGCCACTCCACCACTGCCCAGAGAAGGCACCCGGAGGTCCCTGCCACGGCCGAGTCTCTGCTGCCTCCATGGCCCAGCCCAACAGTTTCATTTCCCGGGTGGGAGAAAGGAGACAAGAAAAAAAGAGAACGCTGAGGCCTGGGGCTCCGTCTTGCTCTCCCCCGAGTGTCCAGCAGAAAGTGGAAGCCACACGGCTTCCCCTCCCTCTGCTCCGGCCCAGCGGCCGCTGGGCTCCACTCAGACTTCAATGGCTCCCGTCCTTCACAGCGACACTTTGGTTTGAGGAGAGACACAGAAAGAATGAGGTTGAGAGAGATGAGAGAAGAGCAAAGGAAGAGGAAAGGAGAGGGAAAGGAGAGAAAGAAGAGAGAGACAGAAAGGAGAGAGGACAGAAGAGAACAGAAAAAGAAATCAAAGGAAGAATCAAACCACCCGAAAGTTGTTAGTTTTCCTTCGTCCATTCTTTTTGCTCTTACTCCTTTTTTTTCCTGTCTTTTTTTTTTTAAAGCTTTTTCAGTTGATTGGGGGGGGCGGGGAGTTTGGGGCTCTTCACCCCTGTCCCTGACACCCTCTCTCAGCCCTGCCCACTCGCTTCCATCCGCCCTGGCCCAGGGACAGGCCCTGCCCCAGCCGCCCCCTCCGGCTTTCCCAAAGACGACGTCCATGAGGTATTTGTGAAGAGAAAGAAGCATCCGTCCTTCCATCCGCCTTGGGGACCAAGGGCTTGGCTCCACCTCGCGGCTCCTTCTTCTTCTCAAAGAGTCCTTGTCTTCTTTCCCTTTTATATATATATATATATCTATAAATTCTTTTTTTTTCTAGTTTAAATTTATTGTTTGTTTGGTTTTCTGTTTTTGTTTTTTTGGTTCAAAACTTCGTTGGCCTCCACAACAGCAGGAGGGCGAGGTGGCTCCCGGCGGCGTCTCTCCTCCGTGCCCCACTGAGGTGCGTCCAGGGTTGGACACACACGGGGGTCAGCCAAGACTGGTGGAGGTCTCGTGGAAGTGGTGGCCACCACCGTGCCCTCTTGGATTGGACCACAGGTCATGGCACTGTCCCTGCCACGGGGACCCTGATGGGGATGCCATCTCGAGGACCCCCACCACCGGGGTGCGTGCGTGTGTGCATGTGGGGGAGGAGAGGCATTCGCCAGTGTCAGAGGGGCGCAGGAGGGGAAGAGCGAGGCGAGTTCTCTTTTTGGTTTTTGGTTAATGTCGAAGAACGTGAAGGATCCCACGGATAGGCACTGGAATATGAATTTTTTTTTTTTCAGGGAAACTGACAGACAAGATGGAAAAAAAGACAACTTGAATGCCCTCACCTCATCCCCTCTTATCTGAAATTTCCACCTTCCCATGGGCTGGGGAGGGCGTAGATTCCAGAGCCGAGAAGGTGACAGGGTTGAGGAGGGACTTGTGAGAGCTAGAACTTGGCAAAATGGCCTAGCCCACCCTTCAAAGGGGAAGAAGGGGAGGAGCAGGGGATGAGCAGTCATCCCCAGGCCTGCCCCCTGAACTCTCTCCTGGCTGGGGGGAGGGAGGAGGTTAAAGCAAGACCCCCCTGCCCAGATGGGGAGAGCGGGGGAGCCAGGGAGTGGGGGGACACATGATAGGGACACATTCTGTTGAGCACAATGCTAAAAATTCTGTACATCCTTTGGATGAAGCTACTGAATATTTGGTGTAAGGTTGTTCAGGCCCTTTCTCTTTCACCTTCTGGAAAAGAACATTTGGCGGCTGGTTCCGAGCCCCAGCCCGTCTGCCCTAGGCTGTGCCCTGTCTTCGCTGGCCCAGGGCTGGGGCTGGGGCCAGGAGGCTGGCATATTCTCTTTTTCCTTCTGTAGCCCCCGCTGGGGGAGGCAGGGTTGGGGTTGGCCCCATAGCCAGGGCTCGGTGGCGTGAGGTCCGACCTGCCGAGGCTCCTCCGCCCCTGGCTGGGGCTCTTTTTGGTGTCGTAGCAGTGAGGGTGAGCACACTGAGGTCTGGCTCCAGACTGGTTTTTGGTTGGTTTGATTTTGTAGGGGATTTTTTGGTTTGCTTTTTGGCTTTTTTTTGTTTGTTTGTTCGTTTTTCACCTCTGGTTCCTTTGGGGCAGCTGGTTTCTGTTGTGATTATTTTTGGTTTTCTTTCCTTTTTTTTTTTTTGGTTGGTTGGGGTTTTTTTGGTCTTTCCTCCCTTGTCACTCCTGCTCCGAGGTCCCTCTGCGTCCCCGCTGCTGGCCTCCTCGCCCTCTTCCCGGGCGGGGGGCCTAGGTGGGGGTCAGAGGAGTGGGAGGGGAGGCATGGCGGGCCCTCACTCAGGCTTGGACCCTGCCTCGGGTCCCCCTGAGCCTCCAGGGGTCTGTGCTGCCGCCTCGCTGCAAGTGGAGGAGGAGGAGGAGGAGGAGGAGGAGGAGGAGGAAGAGGATGAGGAGAGGCCAGGAGACTTGCTGGAGATGGAGGCTGCCACAGCTGCAGCTGCTGCGGAGACCAGGCCAACGCCAGGCGGGGCGCTGAGCAGGGGCAGCCCCGCGTGGTTCAAGAAGAGCGGCGAGGTCACCAGGCCAGGGCTCCCCGGGGCCGCACCGGCTGCCCCCAGCACCAGGTTCCCGCTGCCATCAAGGCTGGTAAGGGGCAGGGTTCCACCAGAGGCCAGGGCTGGCGGGGAGAGAGAGAGGCTGGGCTGGGGGCACGCTGGGCCAGGGGAGACCTTCGCCTTCCAGCGTCCTGCCCAGTGTGACCCGTCTTCCCATCTGTCCCCCCGGCCCCCATCAGCACCCCTCACACCTTCCCCGAAGGCGAGATGGGTATGAAGAGGTGAGCGATGCAGTGAGCGGGGGCAGGATGGCATGGCTGGAGCAGCAATGGGGGGGCTCAAGGCCCTGGAGGGGCAGGGCTGGTGACGATGGGAGTGACATGAGGCAGCACGCACCTTGGATGGTGGCCAAAGGGTTGTTGCTCATGAGGGCTGGACTCAGCCCGGAGCTCAACCCCACCATTGTGCTTCTGCAAGAGGCAAAGCAGAGGCGTTAGCAGGGGCAGGGACCCACCAGCAGAATTGGGGTGCAGCTCCCCACCCTGAAAGCAGCAGCGAGACCCTGCTTCTCCCGATAGCCTCCCCACCTGCACCCACTTACCCCGTGCTGGGGTTCAGGCCTGACAAGCCGATAGCCGAGTGGCTGCCTTGAGGGCTGGGGTTTGTGCTGTTGGTGGTGGCCGGGGGTGGGGGAGTGACAGAGGGGATGGAATTGAGGGGGGGCGCAGCCCCGCCCCCGCCCCCACCCCCTCCGGCTGTCCGGCTAGGGTGGAGCGTCCCCACAGCTGAGGATAAGGTAGTAACTGCCAGAGAGAGACAGAGAGATGGGGTCTTCAGCTTCCACTCATCCCCCAACAAGGAACTCGGGGTCAAATACTTGTCTTCCCCACCCAGCTCACGCAGCATCTCCTGTCAGAACAGACCTAGACCTTCCTGCCCTCTCTTCCCAGAGCTATTTCTTTGTGCCTCTGCCATGGTGACAGCAATCACAGTAATCAAAGTAAGAGCAGCTGTCACCTACTGAGCCTGTGCCCTGTGCCAGATGCGCTGGTACTACGCATGCCCCGCCCTGCACCAATGTCACGTGGACAAGGAGACAAAGCCCTATTGCTCCCTCTAGAGGCCAGGGAAGGCGCACAGGGTGCAAGGCAGCTGGCTGGCAGCCCAGGACGGGCCACCTGGGAGGGCTAGGAGCCCAGACTCTGGGGTAGAAACTCCTGCACCCTTGGGTAAGTGCTTTAACCTTTCAGAACTTCCAGTCTCTCTTCTGGAAGCCTGTGCCACCACACCCGGCTGATAAAGAGCTTAGAACAGTGCCAGGCATGCCTTTACTATTTTATAAATCTCCACTTATTATTTCTTAACCTGGGGAGGGGCAAAATGGCGTTCATTTTATATTATTCTTTTATATAACTCTCATATATGGTGTTAAACATGCCTTGTCTCAGTGAGAGGGAAAGGGGACTCTGGGTACAAGAGTACACATACATACACTCTTATATGTATGTATTTATATATATATCATCTGTATGTGTTACACATTCACAATTTTATAAAAGCGGAGGTTCAGGGAGGTAGAGTAACTTTTTTTTGATACAGGGTCTCACTCTGTCACCCAGGCTGAAGTGCAGTGGCAAAATTATAGCTCACTGTAACCTTGAACTCCTGGGCTCAAGCAATCATCCTGCCTCAGTCTCCTGAGTAGCTGGAACTATAGGCATGTGCCACCACACCTGGCTAATTTTTCTATTTTTTGTAGAGACTGGGTCCCACTATGTTGCTCAGGCTGATCTCAAACTCCTAGCCTCAAACAATCCTCCCACCTCGGGCTCCCAAAGTGCTGGGATCACAAGTGTGAGCCACCGCACCCAAACTTAAGGTAACTTCTTAAATTTACACAACTTATAAATGACAGAGGCCAGGCCCAAAACCCAAGTGCCTCAACTTTTACCAATCCCATGCTTTTCTGATTAAATTGTGGAGCAGATTAAAGCCAAGTTGCTCTCTCATAGGAAGGGTGGGGACTGCCCCGCCCCTCTATCCCTCCCATGCCCCCCACACCCCCAGGCCCAGCCTTGAGGCCCAAGGATGCCCAGAGCCACGAGAGAACCTCAGGCTCCAGCCTGTGGTGCATCCTCCCAGTCCCCCCTCGCCGATGTCTGCCCTCCCTGACCTGTTGTGCTCAGACTGCTGGAAGCTTGGGACAACGGTAAGGTCCCCGCGCCCCCTTGGGGTGTGACCTGGGGAGAGAGGAAAGGAGGTATGGTTAGGTCACTGTCTCCCAGCAGCCCCTTGACCCTGACACTCCCTGTGGGAATAACTCCCGCTCCCCTGCCCCCAGTTGGGGGAAACGGGGACTTTGGGTGCAATGCTGCATTTGTGTTATTCCACGTGCTTTCCATCACATCTTTCTTCACCTTTACCCCGGGTGATCCTGAGCCACAAGAAGGAAAGTATAAATTTGCAATTGAGAGTGCTCCCATCTCTCATCTGACCCTGTCCGCCCTGGCCAGTCTCTGCAGGGCTGCATCCTGTCTGCAGCCACAGTGCCCCTGAAGAAGCCAGTGCTCTCTCTGTGCCCGCTGTCGTCAGTTCTGCGAAACTAAAAATCCTTTCCTTTCACTGACCTTTTGAGAGTGGAGTTGGAAAGCAATGCGGGAGACGGTTCAAAGTGACCCAGGCAAGGAAGGAGCCAATCTAAAGTGAGTGGCGTGTGTGTGTGGGGGTATTTATGAGGCTAAATTGACACAAATCTTTGTGTCAGAATGCTGGGATGTCATATTACCTGATCTTCTGGAACCATCTACCAGCTTCCTTCTTGGCTTCTCAGCCTCCAGTTTCACCTTTTCGTCAGCCCGAGAAGCCTCACTAAATTTAGCCAAACCTTCCCCAGCTCAAAATCTCTCCTTAGCCCCTCACTGCCCATGGTTCAAATTCAAGCTCCTCATCTTGAAACCTGGGGTGTCTGCCCCCTGCCCCCACCCTCATTCATATACATGGCAGCTCTAGCCATACTAAATTGCACTGGAGTTCCTCAAATCAGGCTGGGACACCCTGGGTTCAAGGCCTTTGTGCACACTGGTCCCTTTGCCTGGAAGGACCTTCTCCTTCTTCACGGGGCTGTGACACTCTCTCATCCTTTATGACTCAGCCCAGACAGTCCCTCCTCTTTCCATCCACACCACTCCAGGCAGGGGCTCCTCTCTGGAGCGTCACAGCCCTTTTCATGAATGGAAATAAAGGGATGGAATAAAAGATGTCCCAGTTGTGTCCGATACCAAGTGGGTCTGTGTGCGCCTGTGGACCTATGAGTACACCCATGGGTGTGATGATGTCCCTGCAGGGTAAATAAGCTCCTCTGCCTGTCTCCGCATGGTTGCGAGCCTGTGTCACTACCTGGACCATGTCCCTGGACATACGTATCCATCGCTGTGTGGCTATGTCCCTGTGATAACTCCATATCTGGCTGTGTCAGTGTGCATCTGGGGGTGCTTGTATCTCCTACATAAGATCACAGTTCCCTGGAAATTATGTGCCCCTGTGTAACTGTGCTCCATCTATGTGACAACCTGTCCCCAAGAGTGACTCCCTGCCTCGGTTCTGGGCTCTGTGGACAACCAGGTAGGGCGTGCTTCACACAGGAGCCTGCTGAGCCTTGTGCTTTCCTGCCCCCCAGAGGGCTCCTGGTACCATGTGGGGGCTGTAGCTGGCCGGCTTCCCCGGGCTGGGCAGCATGGGGGCTGCACTGCAGGGGTTGATGCGTTTCTCCTTCTGGCGCCGGTTGCAGAACCAGACGCGGATCACTTCCTTCTCCATGTGCAGCTGCTCGGCGATCAGCAGGATCTCCTCTGAGGTAGGCTTCTGGTTCTGCGGGGGCAGAGGGATTGTTAGCCCCGGGCCCATCTGCCCACCACCCCTCAGGGCCACCCGGGACGGCAGGGGCCTCACCGCTAGAAAACTCTTCTCTAAGGCGAAGCGGACGTTTGTTTCGATGCTGGTCCTCTTCTTGCGTCTCCGGCCGGGCAGCCCGTCGAAACCCAGGCTGGGGCTGCTCAGCTGGTTGGGGCTGGGCAGGCTTGAGTCCACAGACATAGTCTCTGCGCCCCGAGACAAGAGCGTGAGACGGCGCCTCCCCCTGCCGCAGCCCGCCCCCTCCCCCACGCGGGAGCCCCAGCCTGGTCCCACCTGCGTCGTTGAGCCACTTCTCCAGGAGGGGCTTGAGTTTGCACATGTTCTTGAAGCTCAGGTTGAGGGCCTCGAAGCGTGAAATGGTCGTCTGGCTGAAGTCGTTGCCGTAGAGCTTGCCCATCGCTAGGCCCACATCACCCTGGGCCAGTGGGGCGGGCATGGGGCGGAGGTCAGGGCGGGGCCTTCCGGCGCTGGGCACCCCCCCACCCGGGCCACGCCCCTCCCGGCCCACCGTCTGGTCACGTCCCCGCGCCCGCCCGCCATCAGCCTGCCCGGTGGCCCCAGACCTGTGTGAAGCCCAGCTTAATGCGGCGTTGCTTGAAGGTGCGGGCAAACTGCTCCAGCTCCTCCAGATCACTGGGCTCCTCGGGGTGGGATGGTGGCTCCAAGCATTTGGGGGGCTGCGGGTGCGAGAGGTGCGGGTCGGGCAGCGTGGGGCGGGTCACGGCCTGGTGGGGTGGGCAGGTGGGTGGGATGCAGGACGGAGGACCAGGACGGGGGCTCAGCAGTGACTGCACAGCCCCCCGCCCCTCCCTCTCTGAGGCCCAGCTTCTTCCTGCAGACTCCCCTCCACTCGCCCCAGGGGGCCCCTCCACACTCATTGTCCGTCCCTTTAAAGGTTTGACTCTGCTGCCCTACAGGGGTCCTCTCATTGCCTGGAGCTCTTTGCACGGTCCCTTCAAGCCTGCGAACTCCCAGAAGAAGCGGCCAGCTTCATTTGCCTAGGGCTGTCTTCCTGGAGCTGGGGGCGGTGATTTTATCCTCCTCTCAGACTGGGGAATCAAGGACTGGCTCTTGCCACAGAATTGCTGGGCAGCTCAGGTAAGCTTCTTACTTCCCTGGGCCTCACTTTCCCTCTCGGCAGAATGGGAACAATCACTGCGGTTCTGCCTACCCTATGGGGCTGTTGAGAGAATCCGGTTAAAAATGAATATGTTGCCCAAACCCATAGAATGTACACCACCAAGAGTGAGCTCTAATATAAACTGTGAACTTTGGGTGATAATGATGTGTCACCGTAGGTTCATTAATTGTTACACAGGTTCCACTCGGGTTGGGAATGTTGATCATGGGGGAGGCTGTGCATGAGTGGAGGCAGAAGGTAGGAGATAATCTCTGTACCTTCCACTCAATTTTGCTGTGAATCTAAAACTGCTCTAAAAAAATTAAGTCTTAAAAAAATGAGTAGATTGCAAATAAAGTGAAAGTAAAAAAAAAAAAGCGACAGCTCCATCTGGAATGCTTCATTACCCTAAAAATAAAAGATCTGAAGCAGGTGGTGGGTACAGGGATGTTTGTCACCCAGTTCCTTGATCTGTTTTCCAAAACGGCAGGGGCCAGATGTGTTTTGGAATTCAGAAGTTTTTCGGGTTTTAGAAAGCCTACATAGGGCATAAATCACAGATAATGTGACCCAGCACCCTCCATCAGGGTCAAAGCATTACCCCGCAATCAGACACATTTACACATTAACATCTCTGCAGCGGCAGGAATACCACACAGAGGGGAATACAGAAAAGTCATACACTGCCTCATGTCAGGGCAGGGCAGCTTTTGCAGCCAAATGAGTTCTGATGTCAACGTTACAAGAACAAATTGACTTTCAGAGCATTTTGGATTTCAGAACTGTAACTAAAACCTCTATTAGACTCTAAACTTTTCGGTCTTTCTGAAATAATTCATATATTTTTCGAAAGGGCTGTAAACAAAACTGAGTGGGAATAAGGCCTGAAATTTGTAAAGGGTATTGAAAGATTATTATTAAAGTCTAGAACTCAGGCATCAAACTGAAAAAAGGCCTTGGGGTCCAGGCAATGAGGTGGCCTGAAGAGCTGGCACCCTGCCTATGAGGACCCTGCTCCTACCAGTGGCCAAGCCAGCTGCTCACTGCCACCAAGCCACTACGTGGACACAGATCCAGAATTGCCAGATCTTCTGGTTTGTCAAGAGAAGCTGGAGATCTGGTGCTTTCTTGGAATTTAGTTGACATTAGCCAAATAAAATACATTTGTGGGTCCTGTTTTCGGTCTCTGGTCTAAGAAGCAGATGTGAATTAGTACCTAACAGACACCTTGCTCTGAGAACCCTCCAGCTACCATGCTAGAAAAGACTCAAGGCATTCATAACCTACAGGTTTACAAGCCCCTGAAATTTCATGTGTTTGTGCACTTGTGCATTTGGGGGGAATCTAAATCTTTCATCAGATTCTCAGAGGAGTCCATGTGCCTGAAAGGGTTAAGAACCACCAGTCTGGCTGGGCATGGTGGCTCACACCTGTAATCCTCTACTCTGGAAGGCCAAGGTGGGAGGATGGCTTAAACTCAGGAGTTCGAAGCCAGCCTGAGCAAGAGCGAGAAACCATCTATACTAAAAATAGAAAAATTAGCTGGGCATCATGGCATAAACCTGTAGTCCCAGCTACTCAGGAGGCTGAGATAGGAGGATCGCTTGAACCCAGGAGTTTGAAGTTGCAGTGAGCTATCATGATGCCACTGCACTCTACCTGGGGCAGAGGAGCGAGACTCTGTCTCAAAAACAGAATCACTAGTCTGGTTCGACTCCTCTCATTCTGTAGAAGAAGGGGCTGACCCAGACAGGAAGAGTGGCTTGCCTGAGGTTCCACAGCAGATCACTGGCAGAGTGATCTGCTCTCTCCCCTCTCTACCCCTCCTGCTACTGGCCTAGCCTGGCACACTCAGTGGACAGTCTCACCTGTGTGGGAAGCCCGGCCCGGGGCTGGGAGGTCAGAAGAGCTCCCTGGGTTTGCTGAGGTAGCTGGAATAGATTTGGCGTTGGCAGCAGGCCTGGGGAGACAAAGGGGAACACGTGGGGTGAGCAGGAGAGGGGAAAGTGAGGGACTTCTGTGGTGGTGTCAGGGAGGCCATCCAGGGTGGGGTCCTTACCTGGCTGACTCTGCTGGGCCTGTGGCAGCAGGAACTGAGCAGGTGGCTGGAGGTGGTGGCCTGGCACAAGCACCAGCTGCTGGAGCTGGAGGAGCTGCTGTATGTCCTGGCAGGGAAGGGGATGGACAGAAAGACAGCCTGAGCCCTGGCCAGGTTTCTCCCTCTGCATCACTTGAACCCCACAGGGCTGAAATCAGGAAGCTGTTCCATGCACAGTCTGGCCTGGGCAGTTAATGATGGTCCACTTGGTCACTGAACAGCATCCCTGAGCTAAGGGCACCAGAGAGAGACTCTCTGGACCATGGGGTACCAGAGAGTCCCAAATGGGCTGTCCCAGGAGGGCTCACTCTTTATTTACTTTTTCTTTCTTGTTGAAATATTTGCCTTGTCTTATGTTCCTGCAGAACAAATAGACTCATTTAAAAATGCAAACCGGACCAAGTCTTTCTTCCTTTTAAAACACTCCCAAAGCAAATGATAGCATGCCTGGAATTAGCTTTAAAATACTCCAGCAAACAGTGGGTGTATAAATTGGTACAACTACTCTGGGAACCTCTTTGGCACTGTTATGGGTTGAGTTGTGCCCCCCTCCACCCCCCCGCAAAAAAACCCCAGCTATATTGGAATTCTAAGCCCCAGAACCTCAGTGTGACCTTATTTGGAGATAGGATCTTTGCAGATGATCAAGTTAAAATGAGGTCATTGGGGTGGGTTCTAATCCAATAAGACTGGTATCTTTATAAAAAGGGCAAATTTGGACAGAGACAGACATGGCTAGAGGGAAGAAACTGTGAAGAGACACAGGGAAAAGATGGCCCACTGCAAGCCAAGGAGAAAGACCTGGAACAGATTCTCCCTCGCAGTCCTCAGAAGGGACCAGCCCTGCCAACACCTTGATTTCACACCTCTAGTCTCCAGAACTGTGAGACAAACAATTTCTGTTGTTTAAGGTACCCAGCCCAGGGCCCTTTGTTATGGCAGCTCTAGCACACTAATACAGGCACCATCTACTAATGCTCAACACACAACTGCCTTCTGACCCAGAAATTCCACTCCAACTCTGGGCGTAACCCACCATAACTGTGTACATGTGTTTACCACGAGTCATGTGCTAGAATGTTGACGCAGACCATTTGAAATAGCCAGCACCTAGCCAGGGACAGTGGCATATGCCTGTAATCGCAGCTGCTTGGGGGGCTGAGGTGGAAGAATCCCTTGAGCTGAGCCGTTCCAGACTAGCCTGGGCAGCATACTGAGACCTCATCTCTAAAAAAAATTTCAAAAATTAGCCAGGCATGGTGGCATGCACCGATAGTCCCAGCTACTCAGGAGGCTGAGGCAGGAGGATCACTTGAACCCAGGAGTTTGGGCAACATAGCAAGACCTCATCTCCAAAATAAATAAATAACATAAAAAATAAAAATGAAACAGCTATGACCTGAAGATAGCTCAGGTACCCACCAATAGCAAAATGAGTAAATAAACTGTGATGCAGTGGAATGCTACAGCAATGAGAATGAGTGGCCTGTACTCTAAAATCACATGCAACAATATCAACCTCCCAAATGTAATTAAGTGAAAGAAGCTAGTCACCCTAGAGGACATCCTGTTTGCCTCCATTTGTGTTCTGTTTGCAGGTGAGAAGTTTGGGAGGCAGAGACCGGAGGAGGCACTGGGGGACTGTGAAGGGATGGCCAGGCTCAGTTTCTTGGGCCGGGTGCCAGGTGCATGGGTGTGCTGCATTTGTGAGTATTCACTGAGCTATATACTTAGGATTTGTGTACTTTTCTGTATTTGTTATACTTCAACAACAAGGTTGTTTTTTTTTTTTAAAAAAAGGAGAATGAGGAAGGAAAAGAAGGAGAGGAAAAGAAAATTCAACTCCCCCACCCAAAAAAGTGAGGAATATAGGTGAAATCCTATGTGCCAGTAGGATTGGCAAAATGTTGGTATCTGTTGAGCTGGGTGATGTGTATGTGGGGTTCATTATATTAATATCATTCTCTCTACTTTTGTATTTAAACATTTCCAAAAGAAAAAAGCAAAACCCCCTTCCACACACCCTCCAATGGCTTCTTGTAGCCCTCAATACAAGCAAAGCTTTTCATCTGCCCTCTGAGACCTGCACTAGTCTCCCTGAGCTCAACTCCCACCACCCTCTCTGCCTGGCTGGCTGGGCTCTGGCCATCCAGCCCTTTTCTGTTTTTCGAATGCACCAAGTTCGTTCCTGCCTCAGGGCCTTTACACATGATTATGTGTGTAAAGGTTCCCTCTACTGAACAGTTCCACTTCCTACACTCATGTCTTGGTCCTAACACAAAGTCACCTCCTGGGAGCTGCCCTCTTGGACCACCTAATCTAAACCAGTCCGTTGCCACGCCTCCCTTTATCACTCCCCTTTCATCTGCTTCGTAAGACTTAGCACAAGCTCCAGGTACTGCTCTTCCTGCTTGCTCATTCGTAGCATGCACCTCACGGGAACATCAGCTCCACGGGAGCGTGATCTTGACCATTCCGGTCACTGCTGTATCTTAGCACCTAGAATAGCATCTAGCACTCAGTAGGTGTTCCACATATATATCTGTTTTTGGGGGGTTTTTTTTTGAGAGTCAGGGTCTCACTCTGTCGCCCAGGCTGGAGTGCAGTGGCGCAATCATAGCTCCCTGAAACCTCAAGCTCCAGGCCTCAAGAGATTCTCCTGCCTCAGCCTCCCAAAGTTCTGGGACTACAGGTGTGAGCCACCTCGTCCAGCCATGTATATATCTTAATGTACAAAGACTGATGTGTCTTCATTGACTTGGCAAATTTTAGGTACAGGTGAAAGCTGTAACATGTTAGTTACAATTTTTCCCTTCTGCAAAGTCTGGGGGCACAGCACATGTGCCTCAGTTCCTCCTGATGCCATCATTATTCCAAAGACCAGTGAACAAACTGAGTCTCACTAATGAGAGTTCACAAACCGAGTTCACTAATGTCTCAGTGAACAAACTGAGAAAAAATATAGGCAACTGGACAAAAGGGGCTGATTTCTCTTAATATATAAAGAACAATTACAAATCCATAAGAGAAAACCTAACAAGCCAGTTAGTAATACAGCAGACAGGTGGGTCTGGAGAGTGCACGGCAAAGGACGTACAAACAGCTCTGAATGAAAATACATTCAGATTCACTCACAAGAAGATAAACCCAACTACAGCTGCACTGAGATACCATTTTTACCTGTCATATCAAAAAAGATAAACACAGTTGGAGAGTGTGGGGAAACCAATACTTTTGTATATTGCTGGTGAGAGGGTAATTGGCCTATCAAAATTACAAATGCCTATGCCCTTCGATTCAGCTACTCCATGACCAGGAATTTATCTTAGGGATATACTCACACTTGGGCAAAATGATCTCCATAGAAGGCTATATGCAGTGCTAGTGGTGTTCTAGCAAGAGGAGACACAAGCTGAGCTTGCAGCAATAGGGAATGAGTTGGATGAGTTAGGGTGGAGTTTTACAGTGGAACACCACGCAGTCATCAAAAAGAATGAGGACATCTTTGTGTCCTGATACAGAACAATCTCCAGAATACCCTGTTGAATGCAAAACTCAAGAGGCAGAACAGTGGGTAGGATGTGCTACTGTTTGTGCAAAAAAAAGGGGGGGAGGGCCTGGCTCACACATGTAATCCCAGCACTTTGGGAGGCCAAGATGGGAGGATCACTTGAGCCCAGGAGTCCCAGGTTGCAGTGAGCTATGATCAAGCCTCTGCACTCCAGCCTGGGCCATAGAGCAAGACCCTGTCTCTACACAGACCCACGAAAATAGATAGGATTTCAAATGAAATCAATTATATTGAAATACCGTCATCAAACATATTTCAAATTGTGACATAGTAATCTACGGGCTTCTTTATTAGCACATTAACAAGATCCAGGCATAGGTCTGATGACTTATTTCAAAACAACGAGTGAAAACAATATTTTGAGAGATCTGCGACAACTATAAGAGAATATGACTCTGGGAGGCCGAGGTGGGCGGATTGCTCGAGGTCAGGAGTTCGAAACCAGCCTGAGCAAGAGCGAGACCCCCATCTCCACTATAAATAGAAAGAAATTAATTGGCCAACTCATATATATATACACACACACACACATATATATATAGAAAGAGAGAAAAAAAATTAGCTGGGCATGGTGGTGCATGCCTGTAGTCCCAGCTACTTGGGAGGCTGAGGCAGGAGGATTGCTTGAGCCCAGGAATTTGAGGTTGCTGTGAGTTAGGCTGATGCCACAGCACTCACTCTAACCTGGGCAACTAAGTGAGACTCTGTCTCAAAAAAAAAAAAAGAGAGAGAATATAAAATATTGGTGACAAAGTCCAAGTACTGCTAATAGTACTATTTAGAGTCTGTTGACATTCACAATAGAAGGAAATACTATATTCCAGTTAGAAGACAGTAAAAATTGAGATATAATTTTTTTCCTATCCAAGTTGATGGAGCCTCTGAATTCTATCCACAGACCCTTCCAGGGGTGGTCTGTGGACTCCAGGTCCCTGTTCTAAAATGTAAATTCTCACCATGGCCCTGCATTACCCAGTCCCGGGCTCACCTCTCCTTCCCCACCTCAGGCGACTCAACTCTTTTGCTCCCTAATTCCGATCCAGCCCCACAGCTCTCCTTCCTGTTACTGAACCCACAAAGAGGTCCCCATCTCAGGGCCTTTGCTAGTCCCACTTCTAGATCTGTACAAAGCCGACCCCTCCCCACCCCTGAAGTCTCCATCAAATGCCTCCTCCTCAGAGAGGCTTTCTCTGGCCACAGCGCTGACAAGGAATCTTCCTTTTCCTGTCACTCTCTATGACGTCACACTCTTTTCTTTCCCTCACAGCAATTATCTGCTTCCCGTCTCTGTCCCCAGCCCCAGTGCATGTCAGTTCCATGAGGGCACAAGCGTGGCTGCCTGATTCCCCACGATATCCCCTGGGTGTGGTGATGTTCACTCAGTATTTGCTGACTGAAGGAAGGAAAGAATGGGAGAAAGAGAAGATTCTGTGTGAACAGCGATCTGGCTCAGGATTGGCATTAGCCGGTAGGAGGCACCATTTCTCCACAATCTA